TTGTTAAATACCTAGTATTACAGGGCACTTGCTTCTAAACGCTGTGCGTAGCAGGTAATGGGAGCAGTTCTAGCCCAGGCATATCTTTAGTCGTTGACATTGTAAAGACCTTGAGCCACCTTTGTTGGTTGTGTATAAAGCCATTGAACTGGCAGCGGACGTCCAGCGGATTCTCGAAAGAGTCATGCAAGCGCTGTGCGTGAAGTCGATGGTTTACTACGAGACTCTATAAAATCACTATAGGTAGCAAAGGTGTCGCAATGCTACGGATACCCATGTACTGGCTTCGTGGCACATTTTGTGACGTCAGTACATTTGATTAGATTACTGTTATTACAATTGTGATATATATATATATATATATATATATATATATAGGTATGGGATATGGCACTACGGGAGTGTTGTCAACAAGGATAAATATATTTTATCCTTGTTGACAACGCTCCCGTTGTGCCATATCCCATACCTTCACGAAGAATAACTGGCCCATTGAATTATTACTCCCTATATATATATATATATATATATATATATATAGGGAGTAATAACCATAGCAAAACTTCCAGACGACTGGAAAAAAGCTAAAATAGCACCGATTCCCAAAGCAGGAAATAGCGATAATCCTTCAAACTTTAGGCCAATATCTTAAACCAGCACGTCATGCAAAATATTAGAACATATAATTTTGAAACACTTAACCGTTTTTTTAGAAGGTAAAGGCGTTTTGTCATCTTGCCAGCACAGGTTTCTCAGCGGATTATCGACTGCCACGTAACTAACAGAAGTTGTTCATGATTTAGCGTTATCTATTAACAACTGCACGCAAACGGATATCATACTATTAGACTTTGCTAAAGCGTTTGATTCCGTATGTCACAACAAATTAATTGCAAAACTTCGAAGCATTATTGGAGATGGAATATTAACAAATTGCGTTAAGGACTTCTTAACTAATCGTTCACAATATGACCTGTATGACCAAGTACCATCAGAAAACTTGCCTGTTACGTCCGGAGTACCACAAGGCTCCGTTTTGGGGCCTTTGTTATTTCTTGTTTTTATTACAGATATCACCGACAGTATCTCTTGCACCATTAGGCTTTTCGCTGACGACTGCATTATTTACAAAGAAATTAACAGTCATTCAGATCACCTTGCACTAAGCGATTCTTTACACCATCTTTCCAACTGGTGCGACATGTGGCAAATGTCGATTAACCCCAAAAAAACAGTGTGCATGACAATAACCCGAAAAAAGAAGCTATCCAGTATGACTACAGCATTAAAGGCACCAGGCTTGAAAAAGTGAATGCGCACAAATATATAGGCGTCACGATAACGTCAAGCCTCAGATGGGATGCACACATTTCTAACATTACTTCGGTTGCTCTGCGCAAGCTCTTTTATCTTCGCAGATGCCTTCGGTTGGCCCCTCACTCAACCAAGCTTTTAGCCTATACTACTTACGTAAGACCGGTATTAGAATATGCTAACACAGTATGGTTTCCTTATACAGTCACTAACATTCAAAAGCTAGAAAATGTACAGAGGAAGGCAGCAAGATTCATCTGCAACAAATATAAGCGCACTGATTCTCCTACAAATATGTTAGCAAGCTCTGGCCTCCAAACACTTGCGATTCGAGCAAAACAAGCGCGCATTTAACTTTTTTTTTCAGCTAGTTCACAACCACTATAAAATTGACCCATCATTGTACAACCATCCGTCAGACTCCCGCGTTATTAGGCACAAACATTCACACACACTGAAAGAGTACTCTTACCGCAATGACACGTTCAAGCACTCCTTTTTTCCACTTGCCATAAGGGAATGGAACTGTTTGGATTTCTCCATAACTAGTGCAAAATCGGTATCCGACTTTGCACTAAAATTAGAAAATATGTTCTCTTAGTGCGGCAATACTCGCATTACCAGAAGCATTGCGCCACCAGTGAAAGCGTATTAGAGGAGTGTACAAGTGTTAACTGGAGTATTTGGAAGTTTGATATTTGTTTGCCTGTGTACCACTGCACTTCATGCAAAATTTCTCTTCTTTTTGGTGATGGTTTCTTTGTCTTTGCAGATGTAAGCAATTTGTATATTTTTCGCTCTTATACTCTGTGATGACTGTCATTTCAATACATTCCTGTTTCTTTTTTCTGCGCTGTTAATGTACCCCCTGCATGTACAATCTGTACGCCCACCTGCTATGGTCTCAGAATGAGACTGGCAGTATTGAGAATAAATAAATAAATAAATAAATTATATATATATATATATATATATATATATATATATATATATATATATATATATATAGTGGGAGTAATAATTCAATGGGCCAGTTAGTCTTCGTGAAGGTATGGGATATGGCACAACGGGAGCGTTGTCAACAAGGATAAATATATTGATTTCCCAACAGTTTCGGGAGGGGACCTCCCTTCATCAGGGGATGAGTTATAACTCATCCCCTGATGTTATAACTCATCCCCTGATGAGTTATAACTCATCCCCATGAGTTATAACTCATCCCCTGATGAAGGGAGGTCCCCTCCCGAAACTGTTGGGAAATAAATATATTTATCCTTGTTGACAACGCTCCCGTTGTGCCATATCCCATATATATATATATATATATATATATATATATATATATATATATATATATATATATATATTACGTGCTGAACCGGCGGATACATTTGGGCACTGTTACTCATTAGTCATTACATTCAATGTTTATTACAGTCATAAGCAACAAGTAAGACCGTCCAACCAACTAGCCCAAATAACCGTTCGTCTTCTTAAGACCGTCGGACAAACCGCGGCTAGATGCTGCAAACCTGCTGAAAAGAGGGACAGAAGCCAGACGTTTACGTAACTATGTGGGTTGTAGACGAGCTGCCGTAGTTATCTACCATGTCTGTCGTCACGAGAACAGCCAGCCGTCAACATGTATTATTCACAGCGTGACAGCACCGACAGAAATGAATGTATACATGGAAGATGCAATGAATTCTCCATCCAAAACTCCACAGCCATCCACATCGCTAACCCCTGGCCAGCCCGGATTACCTGCGGATTCTCAGTCATCCAAAGAAAGCCAAGAAATGAGTCAACTCCCGTCGTTTCCGACTCTAATTGATCAACTTTCTACTCATTCATGTTGTTGGTAAATAAAATATTTACGTGTTTCCAATTTGTGTAACTCAATTCTTTTCAGTAATTGAAAAAAAAAAACATTGAAAGAAAAATTTCATGGTGGATGCATATGGGGATGTCCTATATGAGCTCGGGTAAGGCGCTACTCGAGACAATATACGGTAATACGGTAATAAGGTGACCAAGGCTGTGACACTGTTGTGAATGACGCCGTAGTGGAGTGCTCTGGGAATCGAGATCGTCCGATGTTCATTAAATAAGATCTCTGATATGACACTTCATGCGGCCCTCTAGCACTTCATCTTCAACTATATGCGACTTGCGCGGGTGGAGTTGGAGCTGCAAGTCCAGAGTTATCGCGATTCTTTAGCGGCGACACACACACACACACACACACACACACACACACACACACACACACACACACACACACACACACACACACACACACACACACACACACACACACACGCACGCACACACGCACGCACACACGCACGCACACACGCAAGGTACAACACAACTCTCAGGTCGCGGGATCGAATCCTAGCCGCGATCTTTGATGTCGGAACAGGGCCCGTATTCACAAAAATGTGTTACGTCAAAAAATTCTGAATAGGATATTTCGACCAGGTATGGTGCAGGGCATGTCATTAGCAAATTCGGCCTGCCAGCACGAAACGTACTCACCAAAGTGCAGTTTGGGAATGCAACCCACATAGAGAAAATATGTAGACACGCAGTAAAATTAAACTGACGTAGATTCAACAAAAGAAGTAAAATGATATTAATCAGTCAATAAATAAATAAATAAATAAATAAATAAATAAATAAATAAATAAATAAATAAATAAATAAATGATTGTCAGTCGGATGAGTAAAGAAGAAAAACAACACAGAAATAATGAACAAGCATACCATAAAACAAACTGATAAAGTGCGACCAAGCAAAATGAAAGAAAGCTAATACTGTGGTCTATACACGGGAAAATACGGCAGTCCACCTCACACCGGCCCGCATTTGTCAAGCGAGATAAATCGCCACACGTTTACGGCGGCAATACACCTAAATCCCTCGGCCGAGCCGTCGCTATACGAACCGCTTCATTCTTCCTCCCTCTCTGACTCCAGGATGCAAAGGGTCGCTGAATGCGGCGTTCGCTTGTACTGATGAACCGTGAAAAGGTGAATCTCTCTAGCCTGTTACCCGACGTTCAAACACGGAAACCCCTATCTTGGCGTGATCGCGAAGAGAAAAGCACACACACACACAAACACACGAATCAGTTGTCGTAGGCCAGGAAACACAACCGGATGTACCAAGCAACCACCTGTCGAGGTTCACAGCACGTGTGACGTTGTTGTATATCTCTGCACACTTGGGTGCTCCCGCGGGATCCTATTGGTTGCCCAGTCAACCTCGTCCTCACCCCCATCGCCTAAAACGGTACAGGGTAGTACACTGAAGGTGAGATGGATACACAGCATCCCATCGTGCGCGCAGGACTGCCCACTAAGTAGCTAGTTTATGAGCGATACTCGCGTGACTTCTCATTATCTCGAAATTTCCGTGTTCTTCGTCTCGTTCGTACAAATACGTAAGCTGCGTCAAGTCTGCAGGCTCTCAACAAAAGAGTTTTAACTCTTCAGGAACTCGACGTTTTCACTCTGCAGCGTAGTTGCAATCACGTTGCTCCTTTCACACAGCGAGATATCTCTCTGTATCTTTGTTAACTAACTCCGAGAGGAGAGAAATGTGCACCATAGAGTCGTAAATAAGAGCTCAACTGCGTATTTTCGTAAACTCGTGCAGTTCGCTTGCTCAGTGTAGCGGAAGTGGGCAAGCTTTGCAAAGATCTTTCAGTGAAGTTTCAGTTCAGAGTTGGGCGGTAAGCTAGCGCGATGAAGCACTATAGTTTTGCAGCACTAGTCATGCAAGGCATCGCATTGGTGAGCTGCGCTACGGTCCCTCCATCTCCAAGGTGCAAGGATCAAGACGGACAGGACGTGGATTGGTAAGTTTGCTATCGCTCACTAATTGGTGCGAAGGTCGACACTTTATGATATCGTTGCTCTTGCACTGCTTATTGAGCACCGTAATAGGCAATCCCAAGTAAATATTCAAGTCAAACAGGTAGATACGCACTGTATAATCAAAGTTGATATGGGCCGCACCAGCTGGTACCACCTACTTCAACGTTACATGCCAGGATGACAAGACCACCCTTGACAATAATAGATACTCCTATAAAAACTTAGGTCACCATTTATTATTCTGCTTACTAGTGATTGTTGGAATTTTACCTCGAGAGTGACAGGGAAGGACTGCTAAACATGCATTCCCGGCTACTTATTCATGTTAGACAATTAAGTTCATGTAAGACGTCGTAGAGACTCATTGTAGGGTGGTGGACCAGTCTATGAGCGTATATAAGGATGAAATATGCACGTTGACAGCTTCGATATTTCCCTGAGATGCAGCAGTATTTTTCTGAAGTGCTGCTAACAAGACAACGAGGTTCCGTTAGCACAGGATGTAAGACCTTAAAAGAGCACTAACTTAGCTCTGATATTCACAGAAGCACATATTCCATTTCCTTGTTATGCAGCGTTCAACGCTCTTCGCACGTCCATGTGAGACAACGGTAGACAATATGCTACTTCGATTTCAAGGTTTCAGTCACTCATCATCTGCAAGCGAGCCCCAGTGCAATGGAAATCATGCACACTATAGTCAACCCATCGAGTTTGCGAACTCTGCGCACTGCATGCACCCTTCATTGCGAGAAATTGCTGTCGGAGTGACAGGACGTCTATATGCTGACTACTGTTTGCCCACCCGACGTGCGTCTCACAGCAGAAGACAATGTTGCTCATAGTACGCCGTGAGTTGCTGTAGTCGTTACGTGAAACTGTGTTTACACATCACTGCTAAACGATGATCAGGATATAGAAACTAAAGTGTAACTTTAACATAGTGTATTCAAAATATATTAAATGCATTCCCTGGACTCACGATACCATTTACAGTATTTTTATTAAATGTAACAATGCGAGAATACTCAAATTTTGAAACTGCCTTAAGTCGAGATGCCTCTTCTCGGTTTCTTGTTTTACTGCACTCACACCTCCCTATAACGAAGCTTAGTATAAAAAACATCGGTTAAAATGAAGTAAATAAAGACTAGTCTTGTAATGAACATAGTGTTAGAAATATGACTTTAAAAGGAATTTTCTTATATAACGAACTTTTTTTGTGTACGATACAATGTCGTTATAATGAAGTTCGAGCGTGCCATTGAATACGCCATTTTGACCCGAATGAAAGCTCACGCACACTCTATTTACAGGTTCATTATCTACAAGCTTCCCCGCATGCAGACTTTCGAACAAAACTCCTTCACGCCCGAAGGAGGCGAGTTCGCCTACATTGATTCGCGCAGTACCCAGGAACCGCTACGCTACTGGCCTTTATCGGCGCAGGATTTGTACCAACCAAAGAACCCTGTCGCCCTCACACTGGCCCCACTCTATGAAAACACTACGAGAAAGGTGAGCTCTTTTTTAGGGGCGAAGCTCCTTAAGGCGTGGGCTGTGCGTACCCTTTATGTAGCTACCTCTTGTTTAGTTCTTGCAAAGTTCACTAGATGGCGGTACCGTACCCTGTACCGTACCCACGGAGGAAGGAAAAGGTAAGGAGAGGCCCTGACGTCACTCGTTGTGAAGCCACGATGAAGCCGGAAGTCGGCCATATTGAGTAGGCAAATTCTCCTCTCTTGTTTACATATGAATGCGAAGCAGAAGGCGCGACTCCCTCCCCGGCTCGGAAAGCACGTGGGCTGCGCAGCGCGTGTGTCGTGACGATCCGAAACTAATGGAACGGGGCTCATCACTCTCAGCCAGCGGGACACCTTCAGCGAAATCGCTTCGTCCGAGTAATAACAAAGAGTAACAGCTCGCTGACAACGAAGCAACTACGAAAGAACGCGCGCTAGATGCACTGACAATGGCGAGTGCTTTCACGTCATTAATTCAGCAACTGTACAGACAACACGATCGGTCGTGCGCCTTCTACGGTTGCATTCCGCCACGCGACTGACGCAGCGTCCTGCCACTGTGTCCGTGTTCCGCGTGAAACTCACCTGCGTCAGCATTCTGCGACCGTGGTGACTTTGAGCTCGGTGCTAGTGACAGTTGAACATGGTTGCTGTTACGTTGAGATTACATGCAATGCTGGTGGAGAGTGTACCAAGCGGAACAGAAAAGGTGTTTTAATACGCACATGCAAGTTGTTACTGTACACACACAACACGAAACTACGTATGTGCACATGGTCCTCACGGCGTCTTGCTGGGCTCAACAGCGTCGTCCGTTGTCAGAAGACGGAGCACTGCTCAACCGTCACTGACCTGCAAGGCGTTCGTCGTCATTCAGCTTCGTCATGGTGCCCAACGCCATTTCGCTGAACACTAACTGCTTCATCCGCGTCATCCGCCGCACGACACGTGGATATGCACTTGTTCTACGCACTGTTGAAACCCCGTGATGGACAAAGAGATTTGTAAACGTTGCTAAGAGTAATGTAACAGCCAGACGAACACTTCGTAACCAATAACGCGGCGCAGAGCACAGATATTGTCCGCCACGGCTCAGCACGAGACCTGGGGAGGCACACATTCCGCCGCAAGCCGCGGCCACTCACTGCTAGACCAGCTTCACTGCGCAACACGTAACCATAACAACGCCGCCATTGTGCCTACTGAATATGGCCGCCATGATGTCATTTCCGCCACATTTTTTACGCCCTGCGCCGGCTGGGCATGCCCTCTCCTTACCTTTTTCCTTCCTCCGTGACCGTACCGAACCAGGAAGTTGACTGGTAAATACTTAGAAAACAGCAGGTGGCCAAACCAAAAAGAACTATCGGTTAAGAAGAAAGTGAAGGAAACGGAGACTGACATGTGGAGAATGGGCATGATAAAGAAGTCCGCACTAGAGATCTATCGAACGTTTAAGCAGGAAATTGCCAAGGAAAGGATCTATGATAATACTCGGGGTAGTTCTCTACTGTTTGAGGCCAGAACGGGAGTACTGCGAACCAAGACATATCGGGCCAAATACGAAGGGGTAGACACAGTATGCAGTGCGTGTGGAGAGGAAGAAGAAACTGCCGAACACTTGATAATGTTCTGTAAAAGGCTTCACCCTATAGTTCAGGATGATGGCGCAGAGTTTTTCAAAGCACTGGGGTTTAGGGACCGGGAGGGCAAAATAAACTTTAAGCGGGTAGACTTAACTAGAAGGAGGTTATCTGATTGGTGGCTAAAGTCAAGGCACGAGTGAAAATTAAACTCTTCACTGCAAAGTACGAATCCTCAAACTCTTTTTTTTAAGGAAAAAAAAATATAGTTTTTGGTTCATTAGGTAATACGGCTTGGTGGCGCTGGCCACCGCCCGATCTAAAGGGTACAGCCATATCCATCCATCCATCCTGTAGCCGCCTCTCGTTTAGTTCTTGCAGTGTTCACTAGATGGCGGTACTTGTAGCTCATGATGAAAAGATGCAGGATGTTATAAACTAGACGGCGGTACTTGAGTTGATGATGAAAGATGCGAGATGTTCTAATATAGGAATGATGTCACATATGGCGCATGTCATTGGTGGAAGGCAATCGTTCGATTTAGTGCGGCGACGTTCGCTAGGGCGAGCGTTGTAATAAAGTCGAGTAGGCAAAATGTACGGAGGATTCATGGTTTACCAGGTTTACCTCCGGAGCTTCGCCCCCTCATCATCATTCGATTCGTCGACATGGCGGCACTTTCTCAATATAGAAAAGCGCGTTATGCTCAATGACGCTAAAAAATGAATTGGAAGCCTTCATGACGCCTCACCGCTAGAAGAGAAGCCAGCATTTGCCCTCCCCCCTCCTTCGCTAATCTTGGAAACACGCTTCTTTCGGGCACAGTGGGCTTAGATCAAGCTGCATTCACACGACGGACGCAACCGCGATTCGAGCCGGCGGATTGCGTAGTACGTCACCATACGCCAGGCGTTCCTGCATGTGCGCTTTGGTCCACGCGGAGCGATTTGTGAAACGACGGAGGCCGAAATCGCAGTTGGAATCGTCATGGAGCAAAGCCAAAATACTCGCTTGCAGCGTGAGTTCTCCCCAATGGTGTGAATGCTGGCTGCAGAAGGAACAGAATCACGTCAAATACCACGTGACTGATCCGTCCGCGACGACGTCCGTCGTGTGAATACAGAAGAACAAGTGGTCTTGCTCTGTGTATGTAAGTGCTTGGTTAACTATTAAATAAAAGATCGTTGTTCTCGGAGATAGCAAGTAGTGATCACTATTGATGACTTGATTGGTAATAAAACTTGCAAAGGCTTTCATGGTTCTTAAAGAGTCCAGCATGAGAAAGGGAAAGATTGAGCAGTGTCTGTCTGGAAAATTTTGCCACTTGGGACGCATGGGGTGCAAGGGGTACATGCTCGCTCTTCTCCACTGAAGGTCACCCATTATTGATAATTGATATGTGGGGTTTAACGTCCCAAAGCCACTATATGATTATGAGAAACGCCGTAGTGCAGGGCTCAGGAAATTTCGACCACCTGGGGTTCTTCAACGTGCACCCAAATCTGAGTACACGGGCCTACAACATTTCCGCCTCCATCAGAAATGCAGCCGCCGCAGCCGGGATTTGATCCCGCGACTTGCGGTTCAGCAGCCGAGTACCTTAACCACTAGACCACCGCGGCGGAAGGTACTTGTATATGATGAATACACGATGAAAAGATGTGAGATGGCGGTACTTAGAGTGTTCACTAGATAGACGGATGGACGGATGAACATACAGATGGACGGGCGGACTGAAGGACTCATGGGCGGACGGATGGATTGACAGACAGAGGGATGGCTGCACGAACAGACGCACGGATGGACGGAGATACAGACTGATAGATGAACGAACGAACGCATGGACGGACAGACGCACCGACTGTCCCATGGATGGGCGGACGCATGGACAGACGCATGGACGGACGGGAGTAAGAACGAATGGATGGACTGATGAACACTTCACCCCACCAATCATCATTCACTCCGTGGATATGCTGTGATTTTTTTTATAAGAGACACAATAAGGAAAGGAACGGAGCATGATGACGATGATGTTGACGACGATAGTAATGCTAAAATTTGTCTCAGATATTCGCATCGGGCACGTAAACGTAATGTCACCCGGCAAGAGAAATGAGATAAGAACGCTCCTGATCACAAGCACGCAGGCACGAGTGCACCAAAAATTTCCCGGAACATGGGTTCCACTGAAATGCGAATTACGGCTGTGTTGGTGCGCGGTGCTTCTATCCTAGCAGGTAGCTGCTTCGGTCGCAAGGAGTACTGCAGGCTAAAATATCTATTTGGATGCTATGTTCGCGAACGAATAGGAAATATAGCTTACTGGGAAAGCTTTATTTAATATCTCTCTATCTCTATCCTCTTTCCAACCCTTATTTCCCTACACCTGTACAGGGTAGCAAACCAGTTTTTCTAGGTCAACCTCCCTGTCTCTTTCTTTGATTTATTTCTTTCTCTGGTGCTTCGCAAACTTTCGGGAGCAAAATACATACCAGGTTTGATGGTAGAAATGTAGAGCGCTCTATGTGCGACAACCTTAACTTAAACAACATTGTTTCCGAAAAAAACCACTACGTGTCGTGGCAGTTTCGTCGCGCGAAGAATGCAGTCAGTTCCAACGTAAGACAAAAATATGCATTCCACCTGTAAATCAGCGCCGTGAGCGCCAATAACCTACACTTTTTTCAAGGTTCTCTGCAATAAGTCCCAGGAAAAGCACCCCGCTTCAGAAGTCTATAACCACGTGTTGAGTTATTTATAGATTGCTGGAGCAGGGTGTTTTTCTAGGACAATTACACTCAAGTCCACATTGCATACAATAATGCAATGTGGACTTGCATTATTGCTCTCGAACAATAAGTACTTTATCAGTGCTAATATAAATGTCACGCACAAATAGGACGATACGTTTGTAGTTGCTATCTAAAATGTGACCCAGAAGACAAGCAACGATGGCAGATTTTTGTATGGATTTTGCGAGATCTATGTTGTCGACGTATAACACGCCACACAAACGTGGGCCTTGATGAGAACTATACCTACATCAAAGAAAACGAAGTCTTTGAAGTCAAAGAAATGAGCGTTGTAGTTGAGGTTGGGACGGGTTTTTGCTCTCCCATAGTACAGCACCAAGTACTCTAAATCGTTAAAGTGCTTTTTTCTAAAAAGTATGTATTAAGTGTATGCGCGGTTCTAGGGCTATCGCGTACTGATCCAATAAAATCTCCTACCGGGGACGTCTATGTGAATGTTTTTTTTAGCGGAATAATGATGCCTATGAGTTGAGCTTGTGTTTATTCTTAACTTGTAACAGACTGTAGATGTGTTTGCAAAAACACCCAATATCGCTAGGGTAACGCTGGATGTTCTTTAAACAAGCTCAAAATGCTCTGCGAATCATAATTCGGGCACAATAACCAGGTATATAATCGCTATACATCACCCTTTAAGAAGAAGAAAAAAAATTAATACAAAAATTGAACACTGCACACAGAAAATACATGAATTGAGAGAAATATACTCTACCGCCATATTATCGGACAGTAAGGAGTTATATCTTTGAAATTTCAATAAAATGAATGCCGAACGTTTATGTCTGAAGTGCGTGGTCCTTGATTTATTGAACACAAGATGGTCGCGAAACGCGGCTCTGGCATCAAACAATGCTCCTCGGTATAAGGTGAAAGCCCCTACAGCGCTGCACTTCTCGGCGCCTTCTTGTAAAAGCGACATGGTAAAGTGAAAAAGAGGTGTAGAAAGCGAAGTAGCAGGGCAGGAAAGCGCGCACTTTAGATCCACCACCGTGACATTGACGTCAAATCTGGCGTTGGCGTCAAGCCGTGGGGCGCTGACCATCCTCCAAAAGTTACAGCCAACTTTTCCAAAATATGCGAGAAACTTTGTTTATCGTAACAGTTGCGCTTCGGAGTAGAATGTGATTGGTTTTGTCATTTAGTACAATATTCGTTCAGTATCGTTCTAAATAATTTTTGTAGAATGCGTTACAGGAACTTAAGCACAAATACATCTTTATAAGCCTCCGCCTGCCATCTATTACTGCCTTTCACCTTACTTCTTTTACGTATTCATGAGAGCTACAGTTTTGTCCTTTTTAATTTTTTTCAGGATATCCTATACTTTGTCTACAATGACCAGCCGCCATCAATCTACAGCGGAACTCGCAACGGACACTGCAAAGGTACAAGCGACGAAATTTTTCTTCTGAATTCTCAGATTGTACGATCGAGTTCGAACTAAACCCACCAAAGGTAACAGCATCTCTGTTGATATTTGTATAACTATTTTGCTGGTTAAAGCGCAAGAATTATAACACTCAACGTACGCGACATTTGACCGTCGGCGTCAACTCAAATAATGAGAAAAAAATAATGATCGGTGCGACGTCAGCATGTGATGTCATCTCGACGTCACCGATCGTCAGAAAGAAGGAGGGAAGAAAACGGAACGACAGGAATGTTAGCCAGGCCTCAGATGAGCTGGCTACCCTGTGCAGGGGAAGGAGGTAAAGGCAATAAATGTTGACGGAAAAGAGATGTTACAAAAAGGAGAGAATGAGAAGTGATTCTGACGTCATCAGGTCGGTACATGCCGATGTCATCAGGTGACGTCAACGTATGATCAAAGGTGGTTGATCATAGAGGCATCGCAGAACATGCTCAGGCGCAGAAATAGTATTCAATGTTGGGATTTTACAGCCCAATACTAATATATGATTACAAGGGACGCCGTAGGGGAGGGCTCCGACAAGTTAGACAATCTAGTGTTTTCTAACATGCAAAAAATATAGGTACGTGGACATCTAGCCTTGTATACCTTTATTGAAAATGCATGCCTTTCTGCTTGACCATTATTTACTGATCAAAAACAATAATGTAATTGTTGGTGCATTTTATGGCCTAAATCTATGGTACGATTAACTTGCTCGCCTTAGTGGAGGACTCCAGAAATTTCGACCACGTGGGATTCCTTAATGTGCCCATTTGGTGAATACGAAGAACACATTTCGCCCCGATTAATTCCTAATAAGTGGGAATTTGAAACGGTAGGGCAGCGTAACCGTAACGATAGCAGACGCATTTAGGAAATTTCGGTGATTTCCTTCCTTCTGCTAAGTGCCGCGCGCAACAAAGGAGCAAGTGTGTATTCGCTTTGTTAGCACTGATTATTGACGATATGTGAGGTTTAACGTCCCAAAACCATCATATGATTATGAGAGACGCCGTAATGGAGGGCTCCGAAAATTTCGACCACCTGGGGTCCTTTAACGTGCACCCAAACCTGAGCACACGGACCTACAACATTTCCGCCTCCATAGGAAATGAAGCCGCCGCAGCTGTCAACACCGCTAAGAATGCCGGTACAAGTGAGTCGGTGCGACAAATTAAAGTAGAATTAGGCTTAGCGGAAGTGGTTCGTACTAGAAGAAGGAACTTTGTGAAACTCCCGGGATAATTGGACTAAAAAGTAAAAAAAAATAACACCACACTTCACGTTATTGAAAAATAATATTGTAAGAACTTTACTCGTTACACTTTCGAAGTAGAAATGACTCACAAGTACGTTATATGTCCTGGAAAAAGTAACGCGTAACTAGTAACGAAGATCCTTTTATGACATGATAATAAACTGATTGATTGATTGATTGAAGATACTTTTAACACGTTACTGTCAAGATCAGTATTCGCCTTGATAACTATAACTGAAGTTTAATTCACTAGAAGAAAGCCGTGCAAGCGCTACTGGGCTTCTTGCGAACTACTGGACTGTCTGAACGCCTCTGAGTGGACTGATTTTGTGTGTGAGTGTGTGTCGGCGTTTTTCTCTTATTTATTTTTTAACTCTCTCTTTCTCTTTCAACCCCCTATTCCCCAACCCCAGTGTAGGGTAGCATACCGGATACTAGCATCTGGTTAACCTCCCTGCCTTCCTTTTTTCTCGTTTCTCTCTCTCTCTCTCTCTAATTCACTAGCGTGAAACGTACTCCAGTTGCCGCTCGAAAAAGAGTGCCTTGAACCGCAGGTGTCGTCCTGTTCGATGACAATGTTGGCGTATGGCTGCTGCACAGCGTGCCAGGGTTCGTTGAAGGACTGCTGAGTGGACAGTACAGCTTTCCGGAGTCAGCCAGAGAGAACGGTCAGACGTTCATGTGCGTCACTTTCCCCACGCCGCAAGTGAACACGATTGGTGAGTGCACAACTTCGCGCTTTTCACAAGCCTTCACATGTAATATTTTTCATGTGCAGCAGCGATACGCCAGATGCCCCAGAGGGGTGCTCTCTGTTATCCTCCTGCTCTGTGGATGAATGCATATCGGTGCAACCGAACGTTGCGAGGAGAAACAATTGAGGAAAGGTGCTCAAAAACATTAATAATAACGAGAAAGAAGGTAAGGGCAGTCATGCAATAATGTTACTGAAGGTGGTTGTGCTGCAAGATTTTTTGGACGGAAGTAATTCTGAAAAAAAAAACAAAACAGAAACGCTTCGCCACAACTTCCTTTCGAAGCTTATCTTATCAGAAAGGACATTACATTGTCGTTGCATATGCGGACCATCTATCCCTTTCGCTTCCGCGTGCTTCAAACATGAGTTTATGCGCAACCACCTGCGATATAGGCTGTGTTCCAATTCATAGAGACAGCACGTAGACAGTCTACGCAGACTGCTTAGAAGACAGCACCGGGACCCTGCTGTCCGAGAATCGGAACACTTCTGGACGGCTTTAACGCGACGATGCACCACCTCGCGTCAAGAAGAAAAAGCTAAAATAAACAAACGTAATAGTTGTGTTTTTTTCTGGCCTATTTTGTGTTAAAATCAAAAACAAATAAACGTTACTCACATTGAGCATCTGGGGAAGAATCTGCTTGTGTGCAGATGACCATTCCAGCGAGATCCGATCTAGTTGAGTGATTCGCTGAGTCGCCATCTTGTTTAGACTGCAAAGTAGCCTGCATCGTATCTGTCTACGATGCGGTCTTCTCGGAGCTGTCTATTTTGCCGGCTACGTGAGAATAGGAACGGGACTTAAGATGGCTGCCGTCCATTTAGCTGTCTATTTAGCCGTCTACGGTGAGTATTAGAACACACCCATAGACGTTAGTTCATTCATGTTTGCGCATAGTGACAAAAGTATTTATGTCTAATGCCTTTCCCTGCTGATAAACAACTGATAGTAGCGCGTGGCACGTGTCTTTGTCTTCTGTTATGTGTTGATCAGTTTTATTCGGCACTAATATGGGTCAGCCAATTAGCACGCAGAGGCATGCTCACGGGGGGTAGGGGGAGGCAGGGGGCCGTCGGCTTGCCCCTAATCAACTAAACGGGGGTGCCGATTCAGCTTTATACTTCTACTTAGTTCGACGTTTTACAATATCTTATAAGGCGCAGTGCATGTACTTGTAGTGCATGTTTGCGCCTGTGCATGTATTTCGGCGCTAAATCAAGTCAGTTAGGTTCATTTCAACATGAAAGGAGACAATTCAATGGTTACATCAGTGATGCTGTGAGGATAAACAAGAAAGTCATTAAAGTTTAAAGCTTGATGAAGGTCCCCCCCACCCACCCCCGTTTTACACACAGTGACAGCACCGTGAAATAAGCTACCTTTTTTAGAATACCGAAACGTGATCTTGAAGACGAAACCACTCTTTATTAAAAAATACGTATAAAAACATTTAGGAAACATGAAGCTTATACGTGACTTATTGCAGGAATGTTTGATTGATTGATTGATTGATATGTGGGGTTTAGCGACCCAAAACCCGCATGTAAATATGAGAGACGCCGTAGTATATAGAGGGCTCCGGAAATTTCGACTACCTGGGGTTCTTTAACGTGCACCCAAATCTGAGCACACGGGCCTAAAGCATTTCCGCCTCCATCGTAAATGCAGCCGCCGCAGCCGGGATTTGTACCCGCGACCTTCGGAGGAGCTTATTGCAGTAATTTTGCAGGAATGTGTTTACCGTTAGTGGCAGTAAGAAGTTCGTCATTTCGCGACCATATTGTGACCATGGACCTTTTGTGTTGCGTTCAAAGGACCGTCCACTTCCCACCAGTGCCTTGGACGACGGGGTATTTGTGATAAGTTTTGCATTGCCTTGATTTCATGTCCACATTCACCGCAAAGCACGTTCTCTCTCTTTCTCTCTCTTTTTTTTTTGAACACTACCAATCAGAGGGAAGGGGATGGGTGAGGAACTGCAGTAAATGTTACGTCACCTCCCCCGCTCCCCCTCCCCCAATCCCATTAGAAAACATTGTTCATGTATATGGTGGCAATGTTGTAAATTTGGTGATTTGCTACGTTGACATCATTGACGCAGCTCCAAAATACGCAGACCACGAGGAGCAGTGCCCCGTGTTCTTTCTCGTCACGTATTTCATATCATTGTTCGCTGCTACAACTTCATTCATGTACGTGTGAAACCCAGGAGTGTTAGTCAGCGCCCCTTGCAGGCGTTGCGGCGAATGTGGAAACGTAAATAAGAGCATACATACAGTTGCGCAAGTGTGCTGATGAATTCAAATATGTGCGCACATGTGCTGATAAACTCACATTCGCTTTATACCGATACCTTATGGTAGCACACATCAGCCAGTGTGACGTATAACATATGATTATGGAAGTATAAGTACTAAGAATACCTCGCGACTGGTGTCCTTACAGCGAGGCTTCTGCGAACCGAGTATGCCAACGTGTACGCCCGCCAGGTGCCGCAGGCTATGAAGGATAAGTACCCCGAGGTAGAGCTGCTGGCCAAGGACAGCTTCGTCCGGGCTCGGGACCAGAAGCTCTACATCGCCAACCTGACCAGCGACGATGGTCTCTTTCTACGGGCCTATGCAAAAAGAGCAACGTTAGATGATGGTAATAAAATTATTTTTCTTATACATTAAAACATTGTTAAAAAGCCCAATAGAGCGGTAATCCAAAGAACACAGACTAAATGACATTGAGGCGGAACAGTGTTTGTTGCATACTTTGTCTGTACGTACTTGACATTAAATATGTCATTTAGCAAGTACTGAATATTTACAATGGTCATCTGTGGCTACTATTTGTCTGTTTCGAAGAATAATGACCAAAGAATGAATTTGGGTATGTGTGAAATTCCGTAATATACAAACTAATGTATGTCGGTAATACACTATTGTAAAGCTGATTGCTGACTCAAGTTACGCAGTAATATTTATTCAAGAGCCATATTTGCACTGAGCTCCACTGTCTAGAAAAAAGCCCATAATTAGCAGAATGAAAGGACGTGCAATAGTGTAAAAACCATTTGACAAGCTCACCTCGTCCTTCAGTTAACTAATGCAGAACCATGCACCTCAAATACTAGTACTGCATGGTTTTATTATTACCGCAAAAAAAAAAAACGAACTGGAAAATACTTTGGAAACTTTAAGGTTCAGTCGTTGGTCCCGTTTGAAAATAACGTACGGACTCATTTAAGACATATATAGTATAGCTACAGACGTTAAGACATCGAAATGCTGGCATTTTTAAAGCGTTTGTCCGTTTCTCATGATTACTACATCTTATACCAAGATATGTATTCAAGACAAAACTTACGACAAGGTATGCTTGGTTGACACGACTAAGCGCTGAGTAATTACGAAACTAGGCAATTAAAACCGGGAAGCTAAACTAGAAAAGCATAACAGTGGTCACTAGGAGCTGAGAACACACAGCAGTCCGAATTATTTCGCAGCCGTGTCAATGAAAAGTCTTCTACTTCTGAAAAAGGAGAGAAATCGGCCTTGTTGGTAAGACATAGGCAATACCTCGAGCAAGTGTACACAAGGACGAGAAGAGAGGGCACCTATCTAGTTCTCGTGTTTCGTTGCAGTAAATATTGCATCTTTCTATCTCTCTCCTTGTCACTGTGTCTTTGCTGCACTACCACTTTAATAACAAGTATGACTTCAGGGGAATATAAATGCTCAAAATGATGAATAATCGGTTAAAAGCGATTGTCCTATTCAGCGAATGTTTCAGGAGTGGGAGTTGTACAATGAGAAGGCCGATACACTTGCAGATTTGGCGAGTTTACTCGTCGAAACGTTCACTCCAATGACACCGCAACTGCCCCGACTTCTAATAGGTTTAACTGCTGAACACTAGACAAATGGGCCATGTATATGCTGGTGTTTTCAGACTGGCCGAGTGGTCAAACAACTTTTTAATACTTCGAGTACTCCTGAACGAGAGTAAGACGCGAGTTATAGGTTGGTTAATTACCGTATCGACCAAAATTCAACAGATCTGTACTCTGGAGTGCTCGCCAACGACCTGAAGGGCGACCTTGCGGTGCAGTCTTGGAGGAATGGTGCTGGAGAAAAGCTTCCGCCGGCCTGCGACTCCAGCTACACTGTGGTCAATATTGATGCTGTCCTTATGAGGTTCGCCGCGAACAACTCGGTCACATTCAATACCACCGAGGATCACAGCAAGTGGGCAATTACCATCGACAGAGACGTGTTCTGCTTCGCTTCCATGAATCGTATGGTGAGTTAGGCGTTACAGCAATAACAGAGTGTCTCACAGCAAGTAGCATAACATTTTAGGACCAAGGAGGAGATTGAGTCTGGAAGAGTGATATTCACGATGACTCTGTTAGCTGTGCAAGAAACAGTGAGTAGCATATAACTCATTAGGACCGGTATCCTGAAGCACCGCGAAGTACTTGTTTGGCTTCAATACTCTTTTAGTCAGTTGCACGAAGCTTCTTTGGACGCTTTATAACTCTTCACACGTGAGTCATTTGTTTACATTGGCATCGTGAAAGCTGTAAAATTTTAGTACTTTCCCACTCTACTATGGGACACGACTAGAAGCCCATACGCAACTGCCAGTGTGGAGCCTAGAACAGGTACTTAGTTACCACATTGTGGACTCAGGCTCAATCCCTTATTCTGTGTAAGGGGTCAAGGAATCGGTGTCAGTCAGCCAGACTGACAGGCTAAATAGAGTAAGAGTATCGCTGGAACCTAAATGTCACTTAGAGGTCACTCGAAGTAATCTAACAGTTCCCGATACCGGCTAAAGTCAAGCAGAATCTTTATTTCCCTGCCATATTATTGAAACTGGGGCCGTAAATAATTAGCGCAGAAGAGCAAAAGAATGAGGTGGAGACATTTGACAGACCGGATAGCACGTGCTCTGCCTTGTCTCTTGTCTTCACCTTATTCGTAGTTTTTTTGCGCTTATTAGTTATGGGAACCATTAATACGTACCGACTAGCACAAGTGGCTGCTTTAATATTAGTAAAAAATAATGCATAGCCAGCAAAACAAGAATAAATTCGTACCTTCAGAGCAGCAAGTTTTCCATTCAGCTTCAGCATAAAGATAGCAGACAGTCAATCATGCTTCAGTGGCGGCACTCTTCGATATACTATTTATACCGACAGGTTCCATGCCTTAGTGCCGCTTACCAGTTTTGCCATACGCGAGCGCGAGGCCTGGACTTGAGGCACAAAGAGCTATCATTAGCGTAGAAATCCTACAAATGTATGAAAATTTCAACTCGGTAATAATCACTTGGGTCGACGTCTTTTTCTTTTGTGCCGATGCAGGGATCGCAAGAAACACGTGGCGGGGAGGCATTGTGCTTCAGCAACGGCGTGGTGCAGGCTCTTTTCCGACGCAGTGCCATCGTCAATGAAGAATGCCCCGCATAGCCCTGTGGTGACAGCGACTCTTCCAAGCAAGACTACATCCAACAACTGTTTGAGTTATTATAAATCGACAATAGTATAAGACAACCTAAGAACGTCATCCTTGCAAAATAGCACGAAAAGCGAGAAAGAGAAAGAAACACAAGGACGAAGGAGCTGACTTTGATCTTGATGATCTAAGAGGTCAAAGAGAAAGTATAAAAAAAAAGATACCATGCAGTCTGGGCAAAGATGTGTTCTTCCTGTGATTGACTGTCTTCGAATTTTCGCCATTTGGAAAGGTGTACTACCTACGAAAATTGTCCCGCCACACCGGCCAACATCGTACTCTGAATTTTGTGATGTAAATCGGACGCACAATTTATTCAACACTGACGTTCCTCCGAATTCGGATGCGCGAAATTGAGATGCAATTTTCGAAGAAGACACAGAAACTATGATACTAGGTTGGCACAGTTCACACTGAATTTCAATTGGGTTGCCATTTGGCATTCAATTTGCACTTCAAATCATGAAACATTTTTATACCGTGATGCTTATCGTTGTACTTAGCGCGACAATCACATCACGACCTTCAACGCACTGTGAAACATTCTTCCTCACGAAACTAGTTTCACGAAATATGTTGCTTCACGATAAACTCTGACCATCTGTAGTTGTAGAAATTCCTCTCCCTGCTGACGTCCATTGAGCTGTCATACTGTAGACGTTCGTCTACGTGTAAAAGTGTAGCATGTGTAGAACGCGTAGTCTGTTTCCCGAACATGCGATATTAGTGTCAATAAAACATTGAGTCTCGCAAGCATACTTGTTTAATGTGTGAACTGAATCGCTAAAGTGTGGTGAAATTTCTTAATCGATGTTGACGCCGCAACATGGTAAAGCAGGGTTGGTAGAACATAAAATAGCCAGAAAATGCCTCCCAGAAGCTAGCCAGCGTTGCGATGGACAAAGTTATCGCTGTAAAAACTGGCCTTATCATCCCTGATATGTTAGTTTTGAAATGTTCGTACGGCGCAAGCACATTGGTGGCTACTGACGTCATTGAAATTCATTTGTTGACAAATGGGAACAGTCTCGTGTATTTCTGCAGACCTGCTCTTTGGTGTCTCTCATAATCGTATTGTTTTCGGAAGTATTGATATGTGGGGTTTAATGTCCCAAAACCACCATATGATTATGAGAGACGCCGATGTTTTCGGACGTAAAACCATAGCCATTACTATTATTAACATGATTGCCGGACTACTGAGGCCACTGATTTGTTTACGTCACTCAGTCGGGAATTTCAAAGAAGCTGTATGAGAGTGCTTATCGCAGTTCACAACAGCTTGGAAAGTGTATATTCTTAATCTGTGGAAATTAAATGCAATGACCCAATGTGCGATAAATTATGCGAAACCATACGGCGATTTACTCCTCTTACGCTATCTCCGGCCCGGTATGGCGGCGTGCAAACGCAATTCCATAGACATGGTCGTTCCGCCTATTCTTTCAGAGGTTCACTGCGTGAAAGTGGCTCCTTTATCAGCAGCGATAACTCAAAACGTCCGACTGGCGGCTTTGCAGCCACTATACGCGGCCCCGAAGGTATGCGAGGTGTCGTGTGTGAATCATTCACATAGAGAAGACTTCTTTCACTTCAGATATCTGGCTGTGGCGGCTGCGATTCCGATGGAGGCAGAAATGCTGTAGGCCCGTGTACTCAGATTTGGGTGCACGTTAAAGAACCCCAAGTGGTCGAAATTTCCGGAGCCCTCCACTACGGCGTCTCTCATAATCAAGTAGTGGTTTTGGGACGTTAAACCCCACAAATCAATCAATCAATCACTTCAGATATCTGTTTACGGGCTTAGTTACGAGAAATGCGCAAAATAACGCGTACCCAAGCGGCCATCTTGAGAGTGTTTGTTGACGCGCTAGCAGCAGCGATGTATGTTTTACACATCACGTCATCCCAGGTAGACGTGATGACGCCATGTACCATCCATTTTGAAATTTTTAGTGAAGCACTAGCAGCAATGATGCACGTTTTGGCACATGACGTTCTCACAGCTAGCAGTGATGACGTCATGTACCGGCCATACTGAAAGTCTTTTGGTAACGCGCTGGCAGCAGTAATGTATATTTTGGTAGATGACGTTATCATAGCTAGCTGTGATAACGTCATGTACCGGCCATATTGAAAGTTTTTGCTGACGCGCTCGCAGCAGTAATGTATGTTTTGCTACATGACGTCATGATAGCTAGCCGTTATGACGTCACGTACCGGACATCCTGAAATTTTTTGGTGATGCGCTAGCAGCAGTATTGTATGGTTTGGTACATGACGTCATTACAACTAGCCATAGGGGTGCGTCGAGCCGCTAGACTTGGAACTGTAGCGTGACGTCACGCCAGTGTCGTTGTAAGTTGGTGCGCCGTACGAACATGAGTTTTAATGCACAAATAAAATACCTTTTCAGCATTTATTGGCCTTCACACTTTACCAGAGTGGTCCCTGTTCACACAAGGTTAGTATGATAGAATGAACTTAGTTTTCAGAATTGTGACCAGCATTCCTTTTAAGTGTACACTAAAAACAAGAATTATTTTTTACGTTTAACATCTATCATTACCGAAAACGCTTCTATTACCGCGAGAAAGAGCTTGGTAAGCGAAAAAAAAAACACAGCAATAGAAAATGTTGGTAGCGACCCCACCTTCGAAAGCCTGCACCAAAGCCGTTACGTCATTGATTTTGAAAGCGGCTGCAATGTCGTGTATACGTAAATTGTCCTCTGAGCGTGGCTATAGACTTCGCATACCAAGATTTAGAAAATTTAGGTGGGCCATTACGCATTACGCTATGTGTCGAGACTACGACACAAAATTTAACAATGCGACTCTGACCACAACTTCCTTCTGCATTTACTAACATATATCCATCACATTAATTACTGTAGAGTTTTGAGAGCCCAATTATTCACTAAAGGTTGATTGGTTAATTCGCATTGTGTCCCTGTATGCAACGAGTACTTTATTAAAACTTGTCCTAATGGTCCTTCCAGCAGCCCCGCCGCGGTGGTCTAGTGGCTAAGGTACTCGGCTGCTGACCCGCAGGTTGCGGAATCGAATCCCGGCTGCATTTTCGAGGAGGCGAAAACGCCGTAGGCCCGTGTGCTCAGATTTGGGTGCACGTTTGGAACCCCAGGAGGCCGATTTTCCGCAGTCTTCTACTACGGCGTCTCTCATATTCATATGGTGGTTTTAGGGCGTTAAACCCCACATATAAATCAATCGGTCTTTCCAGAGATTGAGGGTGCCGGCAGGTGAGGCGCAGTATACGATATCGGGAGGGCATGCCAATGTCACGTGATGGAGGGCCACTCTGATAATTTTCTTGGTGAGTAGCAGATAGAAACACGCATTCTAAAATGGGCAGGCATAACGAACCACGTATCAGTATTGCACGACGTGGGAGAAACCTTTACATAAGCCTAGGGTAGTTCCGGAATGGTACTCATTATCTGAAAGATAAGCTCACAATTCGCATTGAAGAAGTACAGAGAACATGAATCGTACGAAAAAAAAAATCCTACCAATGTAATTGAGGACCTTATTATTGCACTCTTTTGTTAGACGCTTCGATGTTTTTGGAAGTTCCTGTGTCGTCCCATATCGCCCTATTTTTTTGTCTTTATATGCCTTGATTTCGCGTGGTCATAATCGCTGCACTAATGACAGCTATGCAATATGCCTTTCCGTTATCTGGTCTTTCAGTCTCTCCAACAGTACTATAAATTAACGGGCTCCACGCTGTGTGCTTTAAAAAAGACTCAAGCCGGCACCCGGACACTGTGCTCCTACACTAAGAACAGTCGGCTATATTGTGCTTAACAAAGTCCATTTTCTTTCAACTGACTGAGACACAGTCGGAAAAGTGTACTCGAGAGACTTCTAAACCAGCGTTCAACTGCCTACTCGACATAGACTAAGAGTAATCTGTTCATTTAAAGCAAACCCAAAGCTCGGCGGCTCAGTTGAAGTTCTCAATAGGAGTTGAAGGCAGAGGGAACACGATGAAGTACCCACTTCTCGCAGCACTGATCGCTCAAGGGATCGTTTCGTTCAGCAGTGCTAAGGACCTACCACCCCAGAGTTGCAAAGATGAAAATGGAAATGAAGTTGACTGGTGAGTCACTAACTACACCGTGTGCACGTCAGAACTCTGTGTTTTTGTGTCTCCTACGCCGTGTAGACACATGGAGTAAAAAAAAAAAACAGCATACTCACTAAGTGAATGATGATCAGTGGGTAGCACAATAGGATCTTTTGGTGTCACCGTAAATCACCCATGACATTGACCACTCACGCATGTAATTGAGTGGCAAAGTGGTGTACAGTTGCATACAATGTATTCACTGGTCATAAACGGTATGTTGTGTTGAGTCGCAAATTTCGTTCTGCCTTCATTATTACTGCTTTGCTTTACAGCAATCTAGCCTTAAGTTGGCAAAAATGGGTTCTGTGTTTGTGCACGTTCACCTGGTGGTGATGGGTTATTTTCGGCGATACGATGTGCATCGTAGAGCCCCTCGAGACGCCCTACACTGCACTAGCCAGTAGTTGTCCGTGATGATGGTTGTCGTTATCATAATCGTCATCTTCATCATCATCACGGCTATGGCGCACACCGACGGACAAGCCTCGGTCTTAAGGAGCGTCACCTTTAAAAGCCAAGTGTTGAGTAGATGACGCGACATGGAACAATTTCTAACTGCAGCCTCAAGAGAACTGTGTCGGTAGGAGTGCTGCCTAGACTTAGGTGTTTTTTGCCTGTAATCGTGAGCATCGAAGTGCGTAGGGATGAGTAGAAAGAGCAAAGGGGTGGAGGGGAGGGTTGCACAAATTTTCTTACATCATTCGTCGGGAAGGTGGAGGGAGTGTCTTATTTTTTGTTTACTTTCTTGTTCTTGTCTTGCCATTGTGTAAAGTGCATATTTTTGACCGTGTGAATTTCGGAGAGTATCGGATTGATTTATTGATTGATATGTGGGGTTGAACGTCCCAAAACCCCCATACGATTATGAGAGACGCCTTAGTGGAGGGCTCCGGAAATTTCGACCACCTGGGGTTCTTTAACGTGCACCCAAGTCTGAGTACACGGGCCTACAACATTTCCGCCTCCATCGGAAGTGCAGCCGCCGCAGCCAGGATTCGATCCCGCGACCTGCGGGTCAGCAGCCGAGTACCTTAGCCACTAGACCACCATGGCGGGGAGAGTACCGGAGGTAGAGGACTTTTGATGTTGCCTACCGCGAACTGTTCGTTTGCCGACTTCACCCCCGAAGGGCTAGTGACCGAATTTTCGTTTTTGCGTTCAGAGCTCGTTTGCTTTATCTTCCCTCCACTATACAGGGTTCAAAAGGAGGCGGGAGTGTGCTGCGAGATTCCTTCTTCTTCTACTCCCCTTAATGTAGAATACTGAGCACGCTTGGGCTCATGTAAAGACTAGGCTTATTCAAAAACAAAATTTGCCTTTTTTCCATCTAACATATTATGCTTGCTTGAACCTGATGTCAATATCAACCATTACCTCTCCAGAAAGTTTAGGTATCCAGCTATTAACAACTGATACAATCCACATATTTTCCCGGTAAAAGTAACTGCTTCAAACAAGCGACAGCTAAGTAGTTGTTTTTGTTCAAGTACGCGAACATAAATCGTCAGGGAATTGGAACCAATTCGTTTTAGAGAGAGAGCGAATTATTTTAATGGAGAGCTGGAGTAGTTTGCCTGGTTTAGTTTCAACTGCGTGTGAACGTCCGACTGTTAGTCTACATTGTCAGTTCAGTTAGAAGCGAGAGTAGGGGCTTTTTTGCGCAAGGAAATAAGTAGGGAATGGGTCAAGGCGTCAGGCTTCCCTTGTCCTCTTCCCGTGTTATTTGTTTGCACGAAATAGCCACAATTGTGGCTTTTTACTGAACATAAATTGACTAGCCTTACAACGTGCACTTCGAGACTACGCTGTGACTGTTTACAAGTGTAAATCAGTTCAACGCCTTGAAGCCTTGATTGATTGATTGATTGATTGATGTGTGGGGTTTAACGTCGCAAAACCACTATTTGTTTATGAGAGACGCCGTAGTGGAAGGCTCCGGAAATTTCAACCACCTGGGGTTCTTTAACGTGCACCCAAATCTGAGCACACGGGCCTACAACATTTCCGCCTCCATCGGGAATGCAGCCGCCGCAGCCGGGATTTGATCCCGCGACCTGCGGGTCAGCAGCCGAGTACCTTAGCCACTAGACCACCGTGGCGGGGGCATTGAAGCCTATAAACAGCGAGACGTACTTGCTTGAGAAGTTAATAATTTAGGCATTGCGCCAAAAAAAAAAAAGAGCTAATGGTTCGATGGCAGCTACGCTTCTGGGCACACATCACAGCCGCTTAAGGTGGCAAACAAGTAATCTAATAATAACCAGAGAAGTGGACAAGATCTAACTCATTCCATTCCTACGCAACCTGTCGGAGCGCTCATGCATATAGATATTAACAGAAACATAAAGAGAAAGTAGTGATTGCATAGAAGGACGGACAATATTACACTTGACGAACCAAGTTCGTTACGAGGTAACACCCTTCTTTGGGCTGAATTTTTAACGAGCGCTGTCTTTCGCACATTGTAGACACTGCCTGGTCTCCTTTCTTCTTCTACCCCCCTCCCCCATCATTTTTTATATACCTTATCCATGCCCGTGCATTCCTCAACTCTCATGTATACGCGCTCTGAACATGTCGCGCTCTGAACAGCCCGAGCGACATCTACAGTCGCAAATACCCAACATCTTAGCATGCCCGGTGCCATTGATATGCCTGCATTGCAGTACTGTGTCTTCTCTTTTGTGTCCCCGTCTTGAGTTCGCGCTGTACGTACTTTATTTTGCAATACTGATCCCTGTCTCTCACCGTGGACGCAACAACCGCTTTGGCCCTCCAAAGCGCTCTGAACGATTTTGCGACAAACAAACAGCAAGCAGAAAAAAAAACTGAAGTGAACCGTTCTCGCTCTGATATGATATCAAGAAGCCAGAATGAGTTTAGAGTATAAAAGGCGCCTATCTGGGCAAATGCTGGTTACTTTTTCTCTCCTTTTCTTTCGGTTCCATAATGTTGACAGCGCTTCGACGACCAAAGGAGTCATTGCGTCCACGGAGATAAAGAAGGGTGGAAACTGCAAGGCAGGCACATCGCAGGTGCCGCGCATGCTCAGATGTGGCGTGTTTGCGACCGCAAGATGTCCATCGTGCCGTTCCGCGCATGTGCACCATGCGGGAGTCTCGGTAACGCCACCCAGCGCCCGAGCGCCGAAAAAAACATTTCAAGGTCGATCTTAGTAGGTGGCGAAAGTTGGAACGAAAATTGGTCTGAAACCTATTGCGACAGACATTAACAACCACGTGACGATGGAGGCGCGACTAGGTGAGGGGGGAAGGGGGAATATCACAAACAAAAAAATAAGAAACGTTCATTTTCAAGCCTTAATTTTATTTGTTACAAAAAAAAATTGTGCACTACTTTATAAAGCTTTGATCTTTGATATGTGGTTAAGCACCCCTTTTTTTTTCATTTGATTTCAGAAACAGCGGGAAAACGCAGGTATTCTGGTAACATGGGTTATCAGATTTGGGGGCGTATCCAACCAGGCAGTATGGTATGAGAGCTTGTGTTACAGTGTCTAGAAATACTTGTGTTTAGCTCGGCGTGCTTTTTGGCTCGGTGCATTACCAGGTGAACGAGGCATCGCTCATTTTTCCGTAGTGGTTTCGTGCATACCTTCTAAAGTATGCTTATTTTTTATGGGAATTTCATGATTCAACTAGTTCACAGAATGTCTAGATATCCGCTCCTGTGACTGCCGACTGCTTTCGCTGACTCAAGTTACGCAGTAATATTTATTCGAGAGCCATATTTGCACTGAGCTTCACTGTCTAGAAAAAGCCCATAATTAGCAGAATGAGAGGACGTGCGATAGTGTGAAGACCATTTGACAAGCTCACCTCGCCCTTCAGTTAACTAATGCAGTTAACACCGGCCCTCGCAAAGGCGAGGGCCGGTGTGCCCTCGCCTTTGGTGACTGTGAACGCGACAGGCTAAGCAACAGGGCGCTGTACTCTACGGCTGCCAAAGTTATGTTTTCGAAACTGCTCTCTGGCTGCGGTGCTTATCAATGATTGAGCAATGAGAGTTTTCGAACTATTATCAAAGCTATTATGCTATTGTACTCGTAAACAGTTGTCTCACAATTGCCGCTACCAAGTTTCTTGTGCATATTGCAAGTATGTCATTTCGCTTATAGAACAACTTTGCTTCCTCAATCTTCGTTATGCCCCGCCGCGGTGGTCTAGTGGCTAAGGTACTCGGCTGCTGAGCCGCAGGTCGCGGGATCAAATCCCGGCTGCTGCGGCTGCATTTCCGATGGAGGCGGAAATGTTGTAGGCCCGTTTGCTCAGATTTGGGTGCATGTTAAAGAACCCCAGGTGGTCGAAATTTCCGGAGCCCTCCACTACGGTGTCTCTTATAATCATATGGTGGTTTTGGGACGTTAAACCCCACATAATAATCTTATGAAATAATCAATCTTCGTCATTTTTTGTTTATTTTCTCTCTTGCATGCAACCAGTGAGACCACAATTACGCGCAATAAAACCGTGTAATAACAAAGGCACGTTGCAGGTCAGCAATTAATTACAAAAAATCTGAATTTCGCACCATGTAGGGCAAACGTGCAACGTCGTTACCACTTCCGGTTGTGACGTCATATTTTTTAGTTGTCTCCGCCTCACGTAGGTGGCGACGGTGGCAATGAGCCGCCGACTACTGAATCCATGGGCTTCTATGGAAGTCACGCTACCAGTTAACATACACCTTGGACATCCCGCGTAAGCACACACCCCACGTGTCTGCGTTCAAAATGTGAACGGTGGCATAGGCGGCAAACTTGGAGTGTCCGTCGGAGTGCCACACATAAAAAATTTCACGCGTCGTCTATCTGCCAGCTCTGCATGCACGCGGGCAACTTTGTAAAGGTCGCACACCATACGGCCATCAAGTTAAAAGAAAAATAAAACGACAGATAGGCTGCGGTAGGGAAGTTTCCATGGCTGAATGGTGGCATATAAAGGAACGGGATGGCAAACCTGAAAACTTTGACAAAAATAATCGCAATAGTAACACTGCACAAACTTAATATACCGTTTCCCACTTTCCTCCAAAAATTACTTGTAATAGTTGTGTTTCGCTGCATAGAAATGGATGGCCACTAGAACGCACTCACTCATATACTAGCTATATGTGCTCAAAAAAACTCTTAGCATATCAACGAAATGAATGATAATTAGTGGGGCGAAGCGTCTGTCCGTCTGTCATTCCGTCTGTGATTCCACCCGTCCGTGCATGTGTACGATTGTGTTCAAAGTTTGGGAATGCAGACGGCACGAGGGTAACACCGACGAGACGTAAGTCAAGGAAGCCGACTGCAAATGTCTTTATAAGTACCGAAATTTTTGTAGTCTTCCACTATGGCGTTTCTATAATCATATCATGATTTTGGGACGTTAAACCGCAGATATTATATTATTACCATAGACACCCTTTGAAATGACAATGCTAGGTGAGATTTTGTTCGCAGTTTCTTTGATGCCATCGTCTGGGTCACGGCCCTTGCGAGACTGAATTTCTTGGCTTCGATCCCCTAATCGAAGAAAGTATGAGACCACTGTATTAGTACCTTGTATAATTATCACCCATATTTCTCGTCGCGGTGCCTGGCATGTGTCATTATAATTTCAGGGCATCTCTGCCCAGGACATTATGCGGAGAATAAACCCTGCAAACTATATGTCATCACGTGAAGCACACCTGACGATGTCTACACGCAGGTTCATCATCTACAAGCTTCCTCGAAGTACACTAAAATCCGTCAATCCAACAGGAGGCAAGTTCGCGTACGTGGACTCCGAGAACAGCAAGAAAACACTGGAATACTGGCCGATTTCGCAACAGGACCTGTTCAAGAACAGCAACCCGATTGCCTACACGCTTCGGTCCTTGTACGAGAGAACCACGAGTGAGGTGACCTACCAATTTCACTTTACAAAAGTGAATATTATGCGTGTAAGACGTGCAGCCCTCTCTTCAGCGGTCGCGTAGCAAGAGGTTTGAGAAAGAGAGGAAGATATACAAGTACAACGTTTAATTAGAGAAAATCAGCGCAGCGCCACTTGCCTGTCGTGCTCTGTGCAAGATAAAAGATGAAGGGGTCTTGGAGGGAAAGGTGGGAAGATGACAAGGTGTATCCATAGATTGGTGCATTTGTTTGCACATCCACCCATTTATTTAGTTTGTAAATCATCCGCCTTTCGTCTGCCGTATCCAAGGAAGGCTCGGTGGAACCAAGGAGATATATAAAAAGAAACGTTGCAACGAAAATTGTTAGGTAACTGAAATCAGACCACCACCACCATCCTACTTCAGGCATAGTTAGGCATGTGTTTAGAAAAAGTGGTTAACAATTTAGAGTACCTGGTACTCTACTATGGGAGAGCACAAAGCCATCCCTGATTCAGATCGCCCACGTTGAACAAGTGGGACATCTGAGACTGTGCCTTTAGAAAACGTTTATTCTATCGTGGGACGCAACAAACCCATGGAACCAGCGTCTATGCAACAAGCAACTGGTATAGTTCTTCAGAGTTGGCTTCACTGTAGCCCCGCCGCGGTGGTCTAGTGGCTAAGGTACTCGGCTGCTGACCCGCAGGGCGCGGGTTCGAATCCCGGCTGCGGCGGCTGCATTTCCGATGGAGGCGGAAATGATGTAGGCCCGTGTGCTCAGATTTGGGCGCACGTTAAAGAACCCCAGGTGGTCAAAATTTCCGGAGCCCTCCACTACGGCGTCTCTCATAATCATATCGTGGTTTTGGGACGTTAAACCCCACAAATCAATCATGGCTTCACTGTACGCTCCGAATCTGGCCCCGGCTAATGTAAAACAATGTGGATCCTTGAATGTGCTTTTGTCACGAGCGTACTTCTATGCGCTATTTTCTAGTGACTGACTGTTTCTCACTAGCAAGCATGTTGGTGATAAGTTTCTTCTGCGAGAGCGTTGTAATCTTTTATCTAGACGACAACACATGACCATCGTTGTTTCCTGCAGCAGCTGAGAAGTAGCGCTGCTAAACGTGTGCATGAAGCTGCAATTCACAATACGCAGGTAGGACACATAAAGAAAAAAAAGAAGTGTACTACGTCATGCACGGATACGTCAAGCGTCTCTTTCCCCCATTTTCCTGATAGGGCAACAGGATTCCAAAGCCTCACTCTGTCAATCAACTCACCTGTTTAAGAAGTGGGTTTGCTTTTAATTAGTTTTTTTTTTGCATTGCAGGACATCCTATATTTTGCATACAATGACGAGCCACCAAAAACCTCCGAAGGAAAGTGGAAAGGGAAAGGCCACAGCAAAGGTTTGTGAGATGCGTATTCATTTCAGCAGTAGAGTTATTTGAGCTTTTTGTTATGCTGCATAGGCTGCAGAACAATTTGGCCCAGTTTTATTTTACGACATGAAGCCTACATGAGCCTCTAGTTAAACAAATGTAATTAGAGACGAACCTAAAAAACGCTTAACGTTGCCTGGCGAGCTTGATTAAGTTTAGCAGAAAAAAATCCTAAATAAAGCTAGCCGAGCGTGCGCTTGCCACATTATATCATGTTAAGCATAGATAAACCCAGCTCACTCATAGTTAGTATAGCCCAAACTGATTCAGCATAACAAGCCATCGCATCGGCCAAGTGATATGACGACTAAGCCGAAACCTAGATATGTCGAAATAAGCCAAACATATTAACAATCAAACTGGTAAATTCCACAACATTCAAGGAGTTTTCATTTACTACTTTTAAAGTGGAGTTTAACTATTCCTAATAAATCTTAATTGGCATTCATGAAGGCTACAACGGTTTAGCTATGGGTATATCTAGTTGAGCCTGACCTTGTTTTGTCATCTAATGACTGAGACTACATAAACTGGGATCACTGTTGAACGTTAAATGAATGATGCTAATGGACAGTCAACCAATACCAATTGATAAAGAATCGGCAGTGACTCACATATTGGTAAGGCTTCATATAGGCCTAGACATAACAGTATGATAATTTTTTTGCAAAATATATGCCCCAAAATAGTGATCGATAACAATCGATTTCATATACGAGTCTACATATGTGACTTGTGTGATTCCGGTACTTATTACGATTTGCCGAGTCAATCAATATCAATCAATATTCAATCAGTATTACTAGATATCAACCCAAGACCAATTTAGGTAGAGTACACCCGTTTTGAACAATATTTGCAAGAAGCTGCTTCTAGGAAAGGTTGTTTAACAGACACGCTTATTGCAATCATGGTGAACTGGCAGAGAAACTTAGCTTCCGAATGATGCAAATTAAGAAAGCCTAGCCACACCTTAGCATATCTTAGTCAGGCTTGGCAACAAAGTTAGAACAGAAGCTTTGGTGATTGGGTGGGTTGCAAATTCATTAACGCAGCATCTATTAGCGCGGATAATGACACAAGGAAACACGACACAGACGTGAAAATAGGTAGTGTCAGGCCTAGCGCCTACATATCTCTACGTTTCTGTCGTGCTTCTTTTATGTTTTGCGCTAATACACGGCACAGTAACCTAACTTAGACATAAAAAAATAGTTCCTAATCTCATGGCACAATTTTCGTCAACGAGGCCCCATCAAGTGTGAGACCCAAGGTATGACTTTGTGCTCTCTCATTGTAGAGTAACAAGCACTCGAAATCGTTTGCAACTATTTCTGAACAACTTCTTTAAGTCGGGACAAGCTAGGAAACCACCAGATTCGTGGTGATTCAGCCTTGCACTTTTAAGAGCAAGCTGCCAGCGTTAAATGTTCCTTAGGTTGGAAACTTCTCACGCAGAAAATTCTTACAATTAAAGCTTTTCGACTGTATTATTGTGATTGATTGATTAATTGATTGATTGATTGATATACAGGGCTTAACGTCCAAAACCAGCATATGATTATGAGAGACGCCGTAATAGAGGGCTCCGGAAATTTTGACTCCCTGGGGTTCTTTAACGTGCTCCCAAATCTGAGCACACGGGCCCACAACATTCGCGCCTCCATCGGTAATGCAGCCGCCGCAACCGGGATTCGATCCCGCGACCTGCGAGTCAGCAGCCGAGTATTTTAGCCACTAGACCGCCGCGGCGGTGTAGTGAAACTCTTATTAACAAAGGTTTATACATGATGAGACCATAGTACCTACCTGAGACATGAAATTGACAATTCTAAAAAAAAATGCTTGGTCAGCTGTTATGCCAGGGTCTTTGCTTCATTTGATTCCTTTTACTATTCCTGTATAGAATGGATGCTTGTGTTTTCATTGTTCTTCCTTTCTTTAATTACGAGATGTCTACTTTTAGTAAGTCCACAGGCACTACCGCGCAAATGTACTTCATTGTTTTGACTGTAAACTGTGCGATTTTTTAACTACCCTAGAAGAAAGCCTGTAATTGCATGATGCGGCCGAAGTTAATAAATGTTTTACGTAATTTTCTGTGTCAAAATTGTCATAGCAAACTGAGCGTTTCATTGGCTATAGCGAAATCACTTTCCCAAGCTCTTGGTGCTCATTGTTGTCCTGCTTCCAAAAGCACCAATGGAACAACATAGCAAACAATGATGGCAGTTCGCTGATGAAGCATTAGGTGCAGGTTATTGACAGTCATTAACCATTGTTGGAACGAGGAGTCTGTTGAAGTGCGGTTGTTGGGTAATAAATCACCAATTCGTAAACGTGGAAAAGAGTGCAAGACTAGACGAAAAACAGAAAGAAGACAGGCTGGATGAGGGCACAAGACTCGCGCTTTTCCTGTTTTCTCCCTCTCCTGTGCTTCGTCTACGCTCGTGCCGTTTTCCCCATTCACTAAGGGGTAAGTATGCCTCACTAGAAGCAGTCTACTTACACGGTGACACCTTCGACGCAGGTGTCGTCCTGTTCGACAAAACTGCTGGCTTCTGGCTCCTGCACAGCGTGCCGAAATTCATGAAAGGACTGAAGAGTGGACAATACGTCTTTCCGGAGAATGCCAAAAATAATGGCCAAATGTTCGTGTGCTTCACGTTCAGAACAGAACAAGTCGAAAAGATTGGTAAGCTGCTTGCCAAAACTTTGCTCGAGCTGCCCGGGACGAGCATTCTGTGCAGATGTCTGGCTTGCCCTTTTATGCCAATCTCACTGTCTTGTACTGTTACGTCTTGAACATTTTGTAGAAGGGACCATCCTTTCTGGAGGTGCAATGATGGCAGACCTCACAATGGCCAGGGTAATATTGATGAAACATCATGTCACGGGACAGCGTAACAGCTCTTTAACTGATAGCTTAAGAAAACTGAGTGGTACTGAGAATGGTACACAATAACCACCATTTATTATAATCACTACAATTTTTTATTTAGGAGAGAAGGCATACTCACGAGATTTTCTGTAAAGAATAACAGCGATATTTTAAATGTTAGAAGGTTGGACGACATTAATAGCTTCCACGATGTCGGCTGAGAAACCTCGAATTCATATAAATAATAGTGCAAATTTTAAACACCAAGTGTAACCCCCCCCCACACACGCACGAACACACACACACGCACACACACACACACACACACACGCACACACACGCACACACACCCATACACACCCATACACACACTCACACACCCACACACACACACACACACACACGCACGCACACGCACACGCACACGCACACACACGCACACACACGCACGCACACGCACACGCACGCACACGCACACACACTCCTCCGAGCAGGAAATATTACCTGCCAAAGATTATAACGCGTAAGGTAGTACACAGATGAGATTCGGTAATTACCTTTTTATGAGGAACTACTTTTGTGACTCGGAGCAGTAGTGTTGTGTTCGTGGTGCTCGTCTGCGGAAGGATCAACTTGGTGGCTAGTTGAGTGAATATATCGTCGGGAAAACAGCGTGAAAGACATGGACAGTAAATGCAGACATACAACGAAACGCAGCGCTGACTGGAAACTGAAGGCCAAACAACTTCGGTTGCCAGTAAGCGCAATGTGTGGTTGTATGGATACTTTAACTGCCGTTATCTTTAGTGCTGTTTCCCGGACAGTCTTCTGCAAAGCCAAAAGTAGCGGAATAATATACCGACCGTCCTTCGACGGACGTGAGTCGTCGAAAGCAGATGTAGTACATATATTTAGGTGTGCACTAAAGAGACCCTGAAACCCAAAGAGTGTTAAAAAAAGGGGGCTCTGGAAGGTCGCTCTTGCAGCTTTTGCTGGAACAGTGCTGTGTGTTCCCCACTTGCATGGTACTTTTAAAGACGATAGTCTTTCTTGGGGTACTTCGACGCAGAAATTTTTATCTTTCTTTCTTTCTGTCTGTACATTTGTCTGTTTGCCACCATAACGATACCCCAAACGGCCAACCCCATCCGAAGCGCTCACCAATATTGCTCAAGTTTAAGTGTTCTTACTTGTGTGACTGTCAATTAAAAACAATTATTGTGCATATCTGAAACGCAATAACAACACGTCAATATTTTGTACGTTTGTATCTATACTGGAGAAGACGTACATAGGTAATTTTAAAGACCGTAGCATTTATCACACTGCGCTGACAATGCAATTCGATGCTCAAAAAGGCAAGTGTTTCCAACGCTTTGCTATGATGACACGATGGTGGCTCCTGCCCGTCGCTTTGCGTTCTACACCTTATCGCTTACGAAACGGGCAAGTACGTACGCCTTCCTTCGTTCTCGAAGATAACTGCCAGATAGCCCTCGTGTCTAACGTGCGTCGATGCGCTCGTTCGCCTTCGCTGCACGGATCGAGACTCTCTAAACGCAGCGCCTCCAGAATACAATTCACCGATTTTCGCACGCAGAATATAAACTAAACGTTTTGTTCACTCTCTCCAAACCCAAGACTATCGTATTTCGATGACATTTGCAGTGAAACATGCAGATACGGGGCCAATTTGTTTTTCCTCTAGGAACACGCTGCTTACTTATCAGGTAACTGCGAGCGAGAGTGAAAATGTGGCGCCCTCCTATGGTTGCTCCATTAGTTATGCAGTTCTCGACGCTCATATCATCAAGATGTAGATGACGTGGTTCTTTGTGTATATGGTTCAATTCGTAGAAAGTTGAGAAAGGGATTGCTCGCCGACACTAAATATTGATTGCAATTTCCATGGTGCGTGTTGTGCTGAATTCTGGTTCTGAGGAGACTCGTCTACCAATCGCGAGTTTTCTGACCATGCTGACAAAAAGTGTCTCAGGGCTTCCTGAAAGATTCCCAGGGGGTTAAAATTTCTCGGCCCTGTGGCATCGCTCAAAATCAGGCTGATCGTTTGGGACGTGCCACACAAATTAATAACTGATATTAGCGAGTACCTACTGACAGTCACGTCTGTTTACACCTGCTTTCCTTTTGCGTCAGTGACAGCATTTCGTCAGCAAATGCTGTTGCACGCATTATCGTTTTACGGAAGCCGATGCTCAATATTTTCACGTCCCTTTGTAAGTCCAGGTGAGGTTTATTGGACTTGGGGGTAGAGCGGCACGATTCTTGCCAGACGTGTTGCTTGGGCGTGCACTCGAGAGACGGATAGCACGTGCACTTCCTTTAGAAGGGAAGCTCCTTATGGCGTGGCTGGTGCGTCCCCGTTGTGGGTAACCGCCCCGTGTTAATTCTTGGACCAGCCATAGAGGGCGGTACTAGTACTATACCCTGAAAATTGCAAGTTGTACGACACTAGAGGGCGTTACATGTAGAGAAGAATGATTGACGTCCCACGTACGGAGGGAGAGAGAAACAATCGCGAGACTACAATCGCGTGTTCTTCGACAGCACCATACGCCAGGGGGCGCTATATCGTACAATAAAAAGTCACAGCTTTGCCGCAAAGGCGAAGCAATGCACGCAATAGCACTAAATTGGAAGGTCACGCGCAGAATGCCAAGCAGATCGAAAAGTGCCCCGCGTTTGTCTCGCACAAATGACGCACGAAACGTACTCACACGTACAGAGGAACACAAATAAGCGTCTCAGTTTTTACTTAGCTGTGTCTGAAAAGCGCACCCTTTTCGGAAATCGAAGCTGTGCAACGATTGTAGTGACCTTTGTGAGCCCATTAACTACAACTGAAATGTTCCAGTGCATCATTTTCATCACATCATTTAGCGTGTTTGACAGCGCGGAGGCCCCATAATTCGTTCTGCGGTATTGTGGCGAAACACCAGGACATATTACCGCCTGACTTCAAACTTGCGATGCGTCCAGTAGCTGCGTTATGGAGTCTCCGTCAACTTGACGTGCGCTTATAGATTCCCTGGAATCGTTAAGAAGGCACGCCTATCAGCGCTAGCTCTGAATCAATGAACTTTGCGTGTGTTGGACGAAAGGTACTTTGACCGCATACATGCTTACACCGATGGCTCCACTAATTCTAATAGCTCTACAGGGGCAGTGGTTGTTCCATCTGGTAATGTGTTGCTCCAATGCAAGTTTTTTTCACACCACGACGTCGACAGCAGCAGATCTCGCAGTGCTTCAAGGTGCGGTCAAGTACATTCTTCGGCCGCAACATAATCAATGGACCATCTTTCGCGACTCGAGGTCAGCCTTACAGATACTACAGTTCGTTATGCAGCACGGGTTACTCGAACGATCAGTATATCAGATAAGGCGCGGCTACCACGAAGTGCTCGTCGAATGTCACAATATTTTATTTTATTGGTTTCCGAGCCACTGCGGAATTGTCGGCAATGACCGCGCGGATGAAGCTGCTCGATCGACTCATAACCAAGACCTGCGTACGCCAATACCACTCTTGAGAAAAGACGCTGCAAGACGACTACAATCACTTGCTCGCCGTACAACTCTACTACAATGGAATACACCGGGTTTCTCCAACGCGCGCCTTTATTCGGTCGACCCAAACTTGAAACTTCGTTCTCCAGCTGGGCTCCCACGATGCGCTGAAGTTTTGCTGTGTCGCATGAGGTTGGGCGTGGAATTTACGAATGCGTATTGTCGTCTCCTTGGGATGGCGAGCAGTTCGGCAGGCAACATCTGCGCCTTTGAGGAGACGCTTGAGCACATTCTCTGCCACTGCCCAGCGTACCAGTCTGAACGACGTATTATAGAAGCCGAGCTCTGTCAGCTGGATTCACGGCCGCTTACAGAAAAGAAGATCCTGAGACCTTGGCTCATAGTTTCGCATACGCACAAAGCCACGAAAGCCCTCTTGCACTTCTGAAGGACCACCAGACTTCACGAGCGCTTGCGAAAGAACGGTGTGAGACTGTGCTGTGTAGTCTCGAGCTGACTATTCATCCTTCTCTTTCCTACTCCTCTTCTTTTCTATCTCTTTCTATTATTCTCTCTTTCTCCCACCCCAAGTGTAGGGTAGCCAACCGAGTCAAGCTTGGTTAACCTCCCTGCGTTTCCTTTATATTTAGCTCTATCCCTCTCCAGTGCAAGCCCAACGCCAACCAAGACGTGTGATCCTCCACACCAGGAGATAAGGGCGCGCGAGAGATTGTCCACTCCCCTCCTCTCCGCGGGCCAATGTACGCGTGAGAGTTGAGAGCCGCCGCATGCTCATTGTGCCATCTTGCTGATAATGCTGTGAACACAATAGTTCCCCCGCACCCCCCGAGTTGCCCGCCAACAGCGGTAAGTGGTAGATATAAATAGCTTGCTGTCTGAACGGTGAAGGAGGTACCCCTTGGTGGCTCAGTGGTTAACGCCTCACATTCACGACGGAGAGGTCCCACGTTCAATTCCGCGCACTGGTGTCTTTTCTCTGGATTTCTTCTTTCTAGCGTTTTCACACACACACACACACACACACACTATATATATATATATATATATATATATATATATATATATATATATATATATATATATATATATATATATATATATATATATATATATATATATATATATATGTATATATATATATATATAAATTGTTAAGGCGTTTATTAGCCGGCACACAGCGAGCATGTACAATGGCGACAGTAACGGCCAAGCACGGGCTCCCAGCGCGAGCGGCATCCTTCTTAGGTTCTTAGGTAGACCCAATAGAAGGCACCTGAGAGTACGACCGATTTCAGGGTTCGGAAGCTTCTCTACAATTACCCCGGGGTCGAAGAGGGAGCCGCCTGGCGACCTAACAGCTTGTCACTATGAGCGGGTCATAGTAAGCCTTCAGGCGCTCCACGTTGACTATGTCGCGCCCACGAAGGCGCATGTCCGAAGTTTGTTCAATTGGTTCGATCAGATAGTTGACCGGAGATGTGCGCTCGATGACACGATAGGGGCCTTCGTATTTCGGGAGTAGTTTGGAAGAAAGGCCAGCTACAGATGTCGGGATTGAGAGCCATACAAGAGAACCAGGAAGGAACGTGGGCTCAGAAGTGGCGGAGCCATCACGAATACTGTTCTGCCGCTCTTGCTCATGCGTCGTAATAGTCTTGGAAAGCTCTCGACACTCTTCAGAAAGCCTGGATGTCTCAGAAATAGGTGCACACTCAGATGGATCCGGCGTGTACGGGAGTATCGTGTCGATGGTGTGAGACGGGTGCCTTCCATACAGCAAGAAGAAAGGTGAAAAACCGGTTGTGCTCTGAGGGGCGGTGTTGTAGGCGTATGTGACGAAGGGCAGTATGTATCCCATTTCGTGTGGTTGGCGGCGACGTACATCGAAAGCATGTCGCCGAGGGTGCGGTTAAAGCGTTCGGTAAGACCATTCGTCTGCGGGTGGTAAGCAGTTGTTTTGCGGTGGACAGAATGGCACTCCGTGAGAATGGCTTCGACGACTTCTGACAAGAAGACACGGCCTCGATCACTGAGAAGCTCCTGAGGTGGACCGTGGCGCAGTATGAAGTGATGCAGTAGGAAGGACGCAACATCACGCGCCGTAGCCGCAGCGATAGCGGCGGTTTCGGCGTATCGCGTTAAATGATCTACGGCGACGATGGCCCAGCGGTTACCAGCCGACGTCAGAGGAAGTGGTCCATACAAATCGATACCTATGCGCCCAAACGGACGCTCAGGGCAAGGTAACGGTTGAAGACTGGCTGGCGACATGTGTGCTGACGGTTTTTGGCGTTGGCAAGCGAGGCAGGAGCGAACGAACTGCTGCACGTAGCGGTACATCCCGCGCCAGAAGTAGCGTTGTCGAATGCGGTGGTAGGTTTTGAATATCCCAGAATGCGCGCATTGCGGATCAGAATGGAAGGCTTCACATATCTCTGACTGGGGGTATCACGAGTAACCACTGCCGGCCATCGGCGTCGTAATTGCGTCGATGTAGAAGGCCGTCACGGATGGCGAAATGGCGAGCTCGACGACGCAAGGCACGCGTGGATGGCGTTGCAGATGGAGTGGTTACTCGTGATACCCTGCACCTTGACCAAATTGTTAAGGCGTTTATTAGCCGGCACACAGCGAGCATGCACAATGGCGACAGTAATGGCCAGGCACGGGCTCCCAGCGCGAGCGGCATCCTTCTTAGGTAGACCCACTAGAAGGCACCTGAGAGTACGACCAATTTCAGGGTTCGGAAGCTTCTCTACTATATATATATATATATATATATATATATATATATATATATATATATATATATATATATATATATATATATATATATATATATATATATATATATATATATATATATATATATATGGTGCATGATATCAACGCTGGCGGCGAAATCCAGTTGAGTGTGTGTCCTTATAATTGCTATCGCAATAAAAGCACAGTTCTGGCACGCGCGCGCATCCAGAGCCTCGGGGACGGAGGATGGACAAGGCTGCTGAGCGGCGTGCGCGCAGGGTGAGGGCGGCTCGCGTTCGAAAGGAGAACGTCGAAGTCCCCTTCTGCCTCACGTGCGCGCACGTGAGGCAGAAGGTGCTCTCACCTGCCCTGCTGTTTCGCCGAAGTACGGAAGTTCGTGGTTGTTTGGCCCGGGTCTAGTTGCTCGTGCCTGCGTTGTGGCTGCCTTCTCACGTTCCTGTAGCCGTAACTTGGCTCGTGACACGGCGTAAAGAATCCCTGCGTTGTACTCGTCTGCTATTTCCACTTCATGGTCCAGGCTTTCTTCGTTCGTTGCCGCCAGAGTACGTCGTCGAGCCTCGAAAGGGCTGCTTCTTTATACTTCAGGAAATCCCTGTGGCCGGTAATCTGGGAGGCATCAGGATCCGGTTGCTGAAGCAGGTCCGCTAACAGTGCTAGGGCTCGGGTGACACCAGCTCTGATCGAGCTGCGCTTCTTCCGAAAATGGTCAGTGGTCACCATGGTGACGACGTTCGGGGAAGTATCCGAAGGGGTGGATCCCGGGTTTCGGGCACCAAATATAACAGATTAACGGCTCCACAGACGTTAATTGGAGACGACCCGTTCAATCGTCATGGAGCCCAAGCTGTAGATGTGGATGTAGATCCTAAACTTGTGGCTCACACCCACCATGGGAGATGGGCAAAGAATCGGCCAGCTTAACAAAATGGAATATTATATATATATATATATATATATATATATATACATATATATATATATATATATATATATATATATATATATATATATATATATATATATATATATATATATATATATATATATATATATATTTAAATACTTGCAAAAAGAATAACAGAAATATTGCTTTTTTGTAGATTATTCCAGACAAAATATTTGGATGAATTAGTTCTTACCAAAGGAGCAATAATTGATTGATATCAAAGAAAATTTTACAGTAGTCGGCATCGGTTAACTGAGAACCTTTTGGTATTGAGGTTATTAGGTAAATCTCATCGACCGTAAATTGAAATCTTGCACGTCCTCGCACACTTTCCCGTTGCTTTGCCGTAGGGCATACTATGCGCACCCATGGATAGTAAATTTGACGTTGTCAAAGCTAATCCAAGCATTCGTAACGAAATTTCTGGTGATACCTTATTGTCCCCTTTTCTGGAGCTTGCCTGCCCCCCCCTCCCCTTCTTTCTCTTCTTAGTCCAGCCCACTCCAAGAGAATATTCTGCAACGCATATACTGTCTGCTCAATATAGATTTCCATTTTGAATTATTTACAGTGATGTTTTTGAATTGTGCTGCACCGGATGCTTTCGCTTATACCTCACTGATGTCCTTGTTTTGTTCACGTGCCGGGATATGGGCCTAGTCAGGGAACAGTCACGTCTGTTTCCTTTTGCCTGATCTCGGTGGCTTGTAGCTGGACATTCTATCGCAGTGGTTGTTCCTGCGCCCTTCTACGCATGCCCAATTTTCTCCTTTTTTTTTGCCTATGTATGTACACCACTCCGATATTAAATCTTTGTTGAAAGTCAGCGCTATTTCGTATCCGTAGTTACGAAGGAACAACTTCTATGTTGCGCTGTTCCTATAATCAGTTGTGACATGCCAGAATAAAGAGTATCACTATTACTAAACTTGTGTGTTTTCAGCTGAGCTCCTACGCACTCAGAACGCGAAAGTGTACGCTCGCCAGCTACCCGGATGGATTGACGACAGTTTCGAGAAAGTGACGCTTCTCGCCAGCAACAAATTCGAAGAAAAAAGCAAAACCTTGAAAACCACCCTTGCAACGAAACGCGGTCACATTCTACGGGCATACTCCAAATCAGCGTCGGCAGGGGAAGGTAAGAAACTCGACTTCCGATTAAACTACACGCCTTTCTCTACAATAGAACTCTCATTGCTTACGAGGGTCACAGGAGAGACTGGATTGAATGATTGATTGATTCATATGTGAAGTTTAACGTCCCAAAACCACTATACGATTATGAGAGACGCCGTAGTGGAGGGCTCCGGAAATTTCGACCACCTGGGGTTCTTTAACGTGCACCAAAATCTGAGCACATGGGCCTACATTTCCGCCTCCATCAGAAATGCAGCCACTGCAGCTGGGATTTGAACCCACGCCCTGCGGGTCAGCAGCCGAGTACCTTAGCCACTAGACCACCGCGGTGGGGCAGGAGAGACTGCAAGCTTGGTGTTTGAAACGAGCCACCGTCCCACACAGAAAACAGCTGCACACGCTTTGCAGAGCGAAGTTTGTAATGGGAAAGTAATAATAATAATAATAATAATAATAATAATAATAATAATAATAATAATAATAATAATAATAATAATAATAATAATAATAATAAGTATAGTATCTGGGTTCTTACGCTCCAAACACGAGGTATGGTTATGAAACAACGTCATGGACCGAAATTTCGAGCACCTCGTGTAAATTTAGGTACAACTAATGCAAGCACAAACACTTCTAGACTCTAGCATTTCGCCTTCATCGAAATGTGACTTCCGCTATGGGGATTGAATCTACGACCTTCGGGGCAGCAGACGAGCCGCATGACCACTGCAAAACCGAAGGAACGATGAACGGAACGGTCACAATGCGCATTTTTTCTTTAAGGTGCGAAAAAGCTTACCTCGGTGTTCAATCCGGTGTGCGGCGTGACCACCCTAACTGCGCATGCGCGTCCCTTCTCTCTCTTCTCCTACACTCGTTCACTCTCCCCTCTAAAAAACGCAGGCCCGTAAGTGGCTGTTCAGGAGGCGGTTGCCTCTCCCCTTTACACTCTCTCATCAACCACGTGATGGCGTCGGAGAACGAGACTATGCAGACACGCGATGAACACGTGCACTCCCGCGTGGCGTGGCTATGAACCCGCCTGGCGTGCACGAGCAAGAGTTCGTGACGAATATAGCTGCAACGAAAAGCTACAGGGAATTATTGGTGTGTTCCCCTTGCGCGTTAACCTATAGGGCAAAGTGTGCGTGATGAACGAAACTAAGTCGACCCGTGCGCCGGCACATGCTACTCGCGGATTCTTTTAGTGGAAGATGGTGTAATTTTTTTGCGCACTTTGCGGATAATTAGCTCGTGCTCACGGGAATAAACGCCACAAGTAATCAAGCCACAAAATTTTGTGCCAGTACCTTGGTAACGAAACATACGTCCGCTCTTTTTGAGGTTACTGGACGAGAGGTGTACACTGCATTAACTATAATCAGTATATATATATATATATATATATATATATATATATATATATATATATATATATATATATATATATATATATATTGTGAAGAAGAAAGAGCGTCGTTGGCAAGCAACATCGCCACCGCTTGGGTACTGGGTGCTGGGCTTCGCTCGCTCGGCTCGTGCTGATCATCGCCGGCATCTGCTTGACCGTTGCTCTTGCACGATCGTGTTTCTTCGTAGGACCACCGTCGCAACAGTAGTCAATAAACCCTTTTTCAATTGGTGGAAGGTGCTGACATTCCCCGTCGCCTGAACCTGGGTGCTGCCATTCGCCGTCGCCTGAACCTGGAGCTGCGCAACCGAACGCTACCTCCCATCATGGCTACCAACAACGCGCAACCTGCCTCTTCCACTCCATCCCCCAGCAACCCCGGCGTTCTTCGTTTGCGAGAGCCCAAGGTCTTTAGCGGAGCTGATGAGACCGACGTGGAAGACTGGTTCGCTAACTATGAACTGGTGAGCGCAAACAACAAGTGGGATGACGCGGACAAATTGACTTACGTCATCTTTTACCTCACTGACGTGGCCGAAATGTGGTATAACAACCACAAAAACGACATCACGACGTGGTCCATCTTTAAAACCTTGTTTGCTGACGTTTTTGGCCGACCCGCAGTCCGCAAGTCCAGAGCCGAACAACGCTTGCGGACTCGCGCACAAAAGCCAACGAAATCTTTCACCAGCTACATTGAAGACATCATTGGACTTTGCAACCGACTGAACACCACCATGCCCGAGTCGGAGAAGATTCAACACATCCTCAAAGGGATAAATGACGGTGCATATCAGCTGCTCCTCGCCCGTAATCCTGCCACCGTTGCGGAACTTGTTACTTTGTGTCAAAGTTTCGACGAGTTGAACAAGCAGCGCGCCCTGACTCGGCCATTTTCCTCACACGCCGACTCGCTCTCCAGTCTCACTTCCGTTCCCGACCACGCACCAACCCTGCAAGAGATTAAAGACTTCGTGCGTGAAGAAGTAGCTCGGCAACTGTCGTTGATTCCCTTCACGCAGCAGCCGCCGTCCTCTCGTCTGCCCTCACCACTCCGCGACGTTATTGCCGAAGAGGTAGCTCAGGCTGTTCCCGTCGCTGCCCACCAGCAGCCTGTGGCCGTGACTGTTCCCCATGCGCCGGCTATGCAGCCCGTGGCCGCGCCTCTTACTTATGCCCAGGTGGTACGCAGCAGACCCCGCCAGCAGCTTTTGCCACCCATGCCTGCAGTTGCTCCCCACTCTACCCCTCTTTCGACACCTTGGGCTGCACCGCGAGTCAGCAATTCCTGGCGCACTCCTGACAATCGACCGATCTGCTACGCCTGCGGTACACCAGGACACGTGGCACGATATTGTCGCCGTCGCTTCCAACCACTCCACGACGCTACTCGGCCGTTACCGCATGACCCACAGCCCATGCACATACCTGCTCCCTATCCCTCACCGCAGTATGGATACACTAACTTTCCTGAGTCTCGGTCGCACCAACCTCAAACTCACTCTCCCCGCTCCCCATCTCCTCGCAGGCGGTCACTGTCCCCAATGCGTCCTAGACCCGCTTCCTCCAACCGGGAAAACTGAACGCCGCAGTTCCAGAGGCAAGAACTGCGCCGTCGTCGAAATGCTCAAGTCCTCGCACTTCACCAGCTAACGTCGTCGCTATATCTGTCGATGGTCTTTCTACCTTTGCCCTCGTCGACACAGGTGCTGCCGTTTCTGTTATAGCCGCCCAGCTCTGCCGCTTCCTACGCAAAGTGACCACGCCACTCTCTGGACTATCGCTTCGTACAGCTAGCGCACAACAAGTTCGACCTCTTGGCACCTGTACGGCCCGCATATTCATCCAAGGCTCTATGTACGTTGTCGAGTTCATCGTCCTTTCGGTGTGCTCGCATGACGTTATCCTCGGGTGGGACTTTCTGTCAAATCATCATGCCATCATCGACTGCGCACGCGCTGAAGTTCAATTTTCGCACCTGTGTGACGAACCTTTGCACGAAACCCTTGAGCGGTCACCAAAACTTGTCGTGCGTGAGGACACTGAAATTCCGCCAGCCTCTCTTGCCGTTGTCCCGGTTTGCTGCGATGACTATAACGATGCTACAGTAATGTTTACACCTTCCGACATTTTCATGAGCCGCAGAGCCGTTTCCTTGCCTTTCGCTACACTCGACGTCACTGCGGGCCGAAGCAATATTTTCGTCCACAACCCCCTTTCTGCACCGCTTACGCTACTTGCCGGCGAATGTCTCGGTCGAGTGGAGTACCTCGATTCCTCTTTATTCCTTAACATGCCAGACGAATCGTGCAGTAGCGCCTCGACCGAACTTCATGCCCTTTCCCCACTGGAGTGCTCATCGAGTGACACCTTCTCGAGTTCCATCGCCGACACCTTAAGTGCCCATGAACGTGCCGAGCTTCTTAATCTCCTCCAGCACTTCGCGAATTCATTCGACGTTTCTCAGCCGCAGTTGGGTCGGACTTCCGCAGTGCACCACTACATTGACACCGGTTCGCACCAGCCATTGCGTCAAAGACCGTACCGTGTCTCTGCTGCAGAACGTCACGTCATCAACGACCAGGTCGAAGAGATGCTACGCCGTCGCGTTATTCGACCATCGCACAGTCCTTGGGCATCTCCTGTCGTTCTAGTTCGAAAAAAAGATGGATCGATTCGATTTTGCGTCGACTACCGGCGATTAAACAAGGTGACGCGGAAAGACGTCTATCCATTACCACGCATAGACGACGCCCTTGACAGCCTACAAGGAGCCGAATTCTTCTCCTCCTTAGACTTACGATCTGGATACTGGCAGGTTCCTATGGCAGAAGCTGATCGCCAGAAAACTGCGTTCATTACACCAGATGGCCTGTACGAATTTAACGTAATGCCATTTGGTCTTTGTAATGCTCCTGCCACGTTTGAACGGCTCATGGACAACACACTGCGTGGACTGAAGTGGTCTGTGTGTCTATGCTACCTCGACGACATTGTCGTTTTCTCTCCCGATTTTCCTACGCATCTGTTTCGGCTCCAACTGGTTCTGACGTGTTTAACCAACGCTGGGCTCCAACTGAACCTTAAAAAGTGCCGCTTCGCCGCGCGAGAGCTGTCCATCTTAGGGCACATCGTCTCCAAGCATGGTGTTCGACCCGACCCTGCAAAACTGCGAGCAGTCGCTGAGTTCCCGAAACCTACTACACTGAAAGAATTACGCAGTTTTGTCGGACTATGTTCGTACTTCCGGCGCTTTGTGCGAAATTTTGCATCGATCATGTCACCACTGACCAACCTCCTACGCGGTGATGCAGACCTTTCAACCTGGTCTTCTGACTGCGACGTCGCGTTTGCCACGCTCCGTAGTCTGCTAACATCTCCTCCAATTCTTCGGCATTTCGACCCAACAGCTGCAACGGAAGTTCACACAGACGCTAGTGGGGTTGGTCTAGGCGCCGTCCTCGCCCAACGCAAGCCGGGCTACTCCGAATACGTCGTCGCTTATGCGAGTCGCACACTTACTAAAGCTGAGGCCAATTACAGCGTCACTGAAAAAGAGTGCTTGGCGCTAGTGTGGGCGCTTCGCAAGTTCCGCCCTTATTTGTACGGTCGCCCATTCGACCTGGTAACGGACCACCATGCACTTTGTTGGCTCGCCACATTGAAAGACCCTTCTGGCCGCCTAGCTCGGTGGGCACTGCAAATCCAGGAGTACGACATTCGTGTCATCTATCGCAGCGGACGCAAGCATTCTGACGCCGACGCCCTGTCGCGTTCGCCTTTACCTCCCGACTCGGCCTGCGGAACCACTGGTATCTCCATCGCATCTCTCGACCTCGACTCCTTTACCAGTGAACAACACAAGGACCCGTGGATCGCTTCTCTTTTTAACTGTCTTTCTGGATCGTCAACCACTGCGGTACCACGATCTCTCCGACGTCAAGCTGCTCAGTTCGCCATTCGTGATCGGCTACTACACCGACGCAACTACGCCCCCGAAGGTCGTAAGTGGCTCTTGGTTGTCCCGCGCAGCTTGCGATCACAAATCTGCGCCTCCTTTCACGACGATCCCCAATGTGGTCATGCCGGAGTTTTCAAAACTTACGAACGCATTCGCCATCGCTTCTACTGGCGCGGAATGTATAATTTCGTTCGAAAATTCGTTATGGGCTGTCCTGACTGTCAACGTCGCAAATCACCGCCTTTCCACTCGTCCGGTGCGCTTCAACCGCTTCCGTGTCATGCCAAACCTTTCGATCGGATCGGAATTGATCTCTATGGCCCTCTACCGACAACATCAGATGAAAATCGGTGGATTATAGTCGCTGTGGACTATTTAACACGCTACGCTGAGACCGCCGCCCTTCCAAGTGCCACTGCGCGGGACGTAGCATCCTTCATCCTTCATCGCTTCATATTACGACATGGTGCACCTCGAGAACTACTAAGCGATCGAGGTCGAGCCTTCCTATCAGAAGTCGTCACGTCTCTGCTTTCTGAATGCCATGTTGTTCATCGCAAGACCACGGCATACCACCCGCAGACTAACGGGCTCACGGAAAGATTTAACCGCACCCTTGGCGATATGCTCGCCATGTATGTGACATCCGATCATACTAACTGGGATCGCATTCTTCCATTCATTACGTTCGCATATAACACCGCGGCACAGTCTACCACTGGATTTTCACCTTTCTTTCTTCTTTATGGACGCGAACCATCCCACACCATCGATACTCTCCTTCCATACCGTCCTGACGCATCCGAATGCCCATCTGTGTCCGAAGCTGCCCGAAATGCGGAAGAGTGCCGTGAACTCGCACGCACCTTTACGTGTCGAGAACAACAGCGCCAGAAAGAAAACAACGTCGACTCTTCACAAAGCCCCAGCTATTCCCCGGGATCACTTGTATGGCTGGCTGTTCCTTACCAAACCCCCGGCATTTCCTCAAAACTCGTTCCAAAGTACGAGGGCCCATACCGCGTTTTGGAGCAAACCTCGCCGGTGAATTTTCTCATCGAGCCACTTTCCCCATCTGACGACATGCGCCGGCGTGGACGTGACATCGTCCACGTCGCCCGCCTTAAGCCATGTTATAGCCCTCTGCCTCCAGACTCTTAGGTCGCCAGGATGGCTCTTTTTCGGCGGGGGCAAATTGTGAAGAAGAAAGAGCGTCGTTGGCAAGCAACATCGCCACCGCTTGGGTACTGGGTGCTGGGCTTCGCTCGCTCGGCTCGTGCTGATCATCGCCGGCATCTGCTTGACCGTTGCTCTTGCACGACCGTGTTTCTTCGTAGGACCACCGTCGCAACAGTAGTCAATAAACCCTTTTTCAATATATATATATATATATATATATATATATATATATATATATATATATATATATATATATATATATATATATATATATATATATATATATATATATATATATATATATATATATATATACTTATGTGTGTGTGTGACGCTCGATGTTACCGGTTCGAGTATACCACCGTCGTTCACAAATCAATTCACAGAGGCATACAGCATACGACAAATAGCGACAACTGCTGAATCACCGGCTTTCCGTGTAGGGGCCTCCAGAAAAGCACCCTCCCCGGCAGGGAAGACCGTCTTGTGCTTTCGAGGATGCACTCGCTCTTGACAGAACGACGCTTTCGGTCGTGGTGGCGAAGCTGTTATGGTGATCTGCCCCTAACGGTCGCTGCTTCAATACCAGCCATGGCGGTCCCATTTCGATGCGGGCATCATGCTGGAGGCCCTGGTGCTGCGACTTCGAAGTGCATGCTGAAGAACAGCAGATGCTCTAAATTTCCAGGAGGCCTTCACTGCAATGTCCATCACAATCATATTGTAGTTCTGGTGCATGAAACGCCAGATATTAATAGAGCGATGCTGTCTAAAGTGCATCAGCAAGTTCATTGCCCATTTACATTCCCTCTGTTTCATTATTGTGTTCCCACCCATTTCCTGTTCCCATAGCGTAGAGCAGCCAAAAAAAAAAAAAGATTTTGCGGGTTGCCTTTAAACACTTTTTCTTGGTTTCTCCCTCTCTTTATTCCTAAAAAAATGACATTAGTTAAAGCTGGCCCAATGACCCTTTTCGTCCTTCGTTTACAGATCTCTTTGCTGACGAGCTTTTTATGGACTTGAAGGAACGCATCGTTGTGCAGTCCTGGATGAATGGTAATGGAGGCAAATATTTATCTGCTGACGACGTGAATCACGTAGTTGCCATGGAACTAAAGTCCAAGGAAAACAAAATATTTCCATTCGAGACCACTGTCGACCATAGCAAGTGGGCATTCACCAATAAAAGTGATATTTTCTGCTTGGCTTCTACGAATCGCAAAGTGAGTGGTGAACATATTTCTACCATATCTTCAAAGCCCCCTCCCCCCTAATAAAACAAAAAAAAACATCGGGAGTTTCTTTGTATTTGCTTCAAAAACGAGAAATCGGAAGCAATCTTTTCCTTCTCACTGAATAGAAAGCTTAGTGTATCGGAAGATGCTTACGTAAGCGTCAGCGAGCGTCTCAGTGCTGACGCTAAACCTGAATGGGCTGCCTGCCAACTGGTTGTATTTTAGTTCAACGGAAGGCATTCCCGCTAACGCAAACGCAAGCACCCTAGGTGCCGTCTAGTTATAAAAACACTATGCGCACTCTAGAAACCTAAAGTGCGCCAACTATAGCAGGTTGACCCTAAGCTCTCCGTGACCTGAAGTGACTATTAATGCGTTTCCGTGCCACGTTTGCTTCTGCGTTGCTCTGGTCCGACTCACGCCATTTCCTTGCGACACAATCCGTACCGGAGTATTCCTCAAGACCCCTATTACCTGACTCAACTAGACGTGTGGTCACATTATCCTCACCCTGAAAACAAGGTATTAGGTACAGCGTCGCCATCTCTGCGTTCCTGTCAAAAACATGAGCGCACGTTGTCGACAATTTTTTTTTAAGTCTCCCGCCTTCCGAATCGAGTGTGCATTCCAAAAGCGTAGTTCTTCTATTGGCAGTATACAGCTGGCAAAGCCTCATTACAAAAATATAAATAGAGTAAGACCAGTATTTGGGAGTGAAAGAGTTTGACAATGCTGACTGACCACTATAATGATTTGAAGTAGACGGCTCTCGTCTCAATGGGCATCGCCTTCTTGCCCTACGTACGGGATCTCTTGCGTGCGTTAGCGTTTAACGCCCTATACCAGAAATCGACGGTAAAAGTTCGGGCAACGTTAACGTTCTGCACATGCTCAGTTTGGAGCACGCAACGCTAACGTTAAATCTTTACGTTTGCTGCTTTCCGCTATAATAAAACTTTTTGCCTCCCCCCCCCCGCCCCGCCCCGATCGTTCTTTGCACCTTAAGTAGCTTTCATGGCCTCCGGGACCGGGATCGGAGGCAGTAGAAGCTTTCCACACGTCTGCTTTTGCAGTGACTTCCTAATCGGCCCATGCTTGACCAAGCTTTGATGCAAGGAGTTCACGTCATCATGTAATAACCCATCGTGTGACGTCACCGCGGCATGATGATTTGCATCACTCTTGTTGACGGCACCGATGGTCAATTTCCTTGTCTATGAGGCACGCAAGGTTTTCGCTTTGAGAGCTATGACTTCCCCGAACCTAACGAGTATGCTGCAAACTTGCCCAATGCCATCGATATTGAAGTTGCTTTTTTTCTTTCCGAATGCAGCCATCTCAAGAAAAGCGTGGCGGAGAAGCCCTGTGTTTCAATAACCGTGTGGTCAAGGATCTCTTCTGCAGCGGTGTGAAGTACGTTTCATCTGAAGCCATCGTCACCCACCACGCAGACCGTAAGAGGCCGCGTTGCGAATCTAGCAGAAGGAAGGCGTAGCGTTCCGAAGCCAAGCTACTCCAAGTTGGCGACCTTGTGCCTTCTTCTGGCACCTTCTTCGATCAGCGTGTTCCACTGGGACCTTTATATAGACATAGTGTAAAATAAACACAGCCAAAAAAATCAACGCACCTCTAAGAAGTGAATCCTGACGTGTGGGTGAAGCTCTGGATATCGTATGGCTGAATAACAATACACGGCTAAAGCGTTACCCCGTTTAATTAAAATGAGTGACCAAGTGACAAACAGTGGACGAAAAAGCTAGGTCCTAAGGTCCACATTGTCTATGTTGAACTCGCCGACTAGCATAAAGGGTTTGTTCTTGTAGTTGTTTCATATCGCTTCATCACAATCATGATTGTTCACTTATTCTCAAC